CGAACCGAAATAGACTGAATTGTTATAGTTTTAATATTCTCCTTTTTAATTCCTTATAACGATTTGTCCATTACTTTATTGATATTACATATTAAGTTATTTGAGTTCCTTATTAAATATCCGTAATGGTCAATGTTTTTGAGCATTTGTATGCCTATCACATACTTTTAATCTCAGATAATAGTTTTTATTATAAGTATTTACATAAAGCTGGTTAATATACAAACATGGGTATAGGAAATCAGGTAGAGCTTTAAATATTCGAATGAAACGAACTAGTTTAAATATCTATATTCCAATTGATTAAAAGTAACTATATCCAAATAGATATTAAAATATAAAAACAAATTGATATTTTTATACAAATATATAGTCTCTTAAATTATCAACTGCGAATTAGTGCTCATTATATGGGATATATTGATTGATCGGACAAATTGTAACCTACAGCGATATCAACATTAAGACATAATGACAAATATACCTACAAAAATATTTCTACCACGAAGTTTTGTCGCAGCATAATTCACCAGTTTTATCAAAATTGATTAAATGATTTAAATACGCATAGAGAACAAATAAACAAATATATTTTTGTTTATAATAATTATAAATTTCTACGACGGCAACTTTTGCAACTGACATCGCATAGAGTAATAAGTACCGCACAATCTCCGAGGGCTTAATTGACAACCCACGGCGCAATTGTTTTTGGGATCGGCTGATGTTACAATGATCGATCTGACCTTAGCCTCCTTAGGTTTGTTTAGGTGATTCAATTTCTTCTGACAGGATGCTCTTTACGCCGACGTGACTGGTTTATACACCGACAGTACATAGTACCTATTCATTAAAAATATACTAGTTTTTCTCAAATAAAGCGAAAACTAAGCTAGCCGAATTGGACGGTAGTGATAATGATAAAAAACTGTTAACAAAAGATTTCTATAATCAAGTTCCTTTCGGTCGAAAACTCGCAAATTAACTCTTGTTATGAAGGTTTATGTAGAAGAGTACTGCTACTCAACCTACCCATCGAACCGTAACTGATGTTTACAAGGCTTCAGGATACAAGTCTTTTAAGCATTTTATTAATTTTCGCCCGAGAGAAAGGATTGACGAAATTCGTCCCTGGCTCGGGGACTATAAATGAATAAATGACTTTGAATTATACTTAAACTCTGTATGCTAATAGGACAAAAACTACAGATATACCTACTTACATAGCGTAGTGTAACGGAATACCTCATATTTACCAGAAAATGGTTATACATTTATTAGGTATCTCATAAAAATGTAAGCAACTAAATACAGTTCAATAATAATTGATAGATTCTGCTTTGCTAATAAAAATATAATTGTATATATATATATATATATATATACATATATTTTTAGCTTTATAAATATAGAAGCAGTAAATAGGTTCATATAAATCTAGAAACATTAAATCGATATTTATAGAGGCAATATAAAACATATAAAATAGCACTAATCTCAGGGATAAATTACTTAAAATATACAAAGTTTTTTTTTATACATAAATTACTACCTGTTTCTCTGCTCGTACTCGTACTACGTTACTCTGTTTCTGGGATTAAGACTGTCTTCTCATAAAAAAATATTTTAAATTTAAATCTCACTAAGATTTTTTCAACCGTTTAGTCATTGTAACAAACAGACAATAATATTAATATGGATAAACCTGTATCATTACTACTAACAATCCCCTCCACCCAATACACGGGATTTGGGAATTTCTAACATCATTAGCAGCAAAGTACCATATCAGGTCAGTCTTCAAGAGGTTCCCCTTTCGCCACAATGACCTAATCGACCCGACTTTATGCTCATAAAATCATCCTCCACTACTGCCCATCAAGCGTACGTTTACCGTTAGCACAATATCTATATATGGGGGGTATATCATTCCATCAACATCCATAGAAACAATGTATCTATGCAGAATTTTAGCTCTATGGATTTTAAATGTTGATATCAATATTTGTATAACACCTAAAAGTTACTTCAAATGCATTTATGGGAGCGCTGTCACAGCACTCATTGTGGTTTTAAATATACCTACACCTCTATTTTACAATCAGTGCACAAGTCAAATTGTTTCTATGATAAATGTAACGACAAAGTATTACCAAATGAGGGCGAACAAAGGTTTACGTGCCTTTTTGTGTTGCCTACATAATGAATCGAAGAACCCAAGGTTATAAGGTCATTAAACTATAGTAATTTGATTATAATGCTTACACTTTGAGTGTGTAACTTTGTTATTTTACAAGCCAGTGACTAATGTAGTATGCCAATCAGGATATTAACAGTACGCTGTAACTATAAGCAAAATAGGTGACAAATATATAACGGTAATTAAAAAAACAAAGTCCAAATGTATTTTGCTGACCTTTTTTATTATCTTTATTTGCTGTTTCTTCATTATCTTTACAATTGTCATGTTTCTTAATGTGTATATTAATTTGTGAGTTAATATGTCAATTAAATATGGTTAGTGGGATTACTAAGAAATTTTCACAGAATATGTTGATTTTGTCGTGAAAATATACCAGACAGACAAAGACATTTACTCAATAATAATATTAGTTAGGATATAGATAGATAGATAAACTATTTATATATTGTGGATATGGATGAATATACCATGTGTTTTTTTTACTTTACCTTAAATTAAAAAAAGACACCAATATAACGTTACTACGTGACATGCGTGATACCATCATATGTTGCCATTCCAGAGGATCAGAATGTCGTGCCTCTTATCCTGTTATACCTACACCTCTGAAACGATGTTACGCTAATCACTTAACCGGATGTGGGTGCGTATTCGCTCACATACTATGATAAGCTTCACTTAAATTTTGTGTTTGTTTAGTTGCAAGAGGTTTACAAACAAAAAAGTTATACGGGTAGGAAGTCGTAAGTTATGCTAGTATAGGCATATAATATAATATTAGAGGAACATAAAGGTTAGATAGCAAGGCCGTAGATATAATTCGAGCACTCTAATGCAAATGAGAAGAGACCTCAGCGAGGCACATCAGTTAATTGATATACAGGGTCCCAAGATTGGATGCGCCCGTGTATCATGCCCGGCATGATTTACATACTCAAGTATATTAGCCTTCGTACTTGTGTGTTATTTAGACGAGCAAAACGTGAGTGCAATTTTAAGATAGGTTAAAGATGTATTCATAATTAGGTTCGTAATTAATGACTGGAAATGAATGTTGCAATCCATAATTAATATTATAAATTTAAGTGTCTGTATGTAGGTCTCTTCATTACCTTTCAACAACTAAACACTAACTAACAAGTGATCTGTTTGACAAAAACATAGATCGTTTCACGAGAACACATATACAACAGTAGTAGTAGTGTATTTGTATGTTAATAATTAATTTATAAGGGTTGAAAATGGGACTTTTTCATATTTACAAAGTGGAGGGAATCGGGTATTTATATATATAACAACAATACCCTATAAATGCAGGCAGGATCAATATTTCATTACTATCCGAAAAAAAGATGTAAAAATCTATTATTCCTTTAGAATTTAATGAAAATATATTATGGCATAGTAAATCTGTTTACATTTTACGTGACGTTTTAAGACACTTGTAACTATTTACATTTAGGCCATGGACAATAGTGCACTGGCCCAATGTATTCGAACATAATAGAATATTTATTTGCCTAATTTGTTTTGTGCTACTGATTTTATTATAATGTTATGCGAAATCTGTATGCATTTGTCAAGGGAAATAACGACGCCACATTCCATACACGGAGGTTGTTTTGTATATTTATACGTGTTCAAAAATGATGACGTAACAATTCGGATATACGTATGTAAAATACTATACTTATTTCATGTATGTCTACCTATATTTTCCACATTTTGTAGATATTTCAATGATTTATTTATCAATTCAATAAAAATGGATTCCCGACTTGGAAATGTTAGTAGTATGTATGTAAAATAAAATATTTAACGAAAGAATAATTATTTAATAAATTTTAACACCTATTCAATCCTTAACACTTTTATAATGTTTCATTCAATCATTCATTCAATCAATCCATTTGTAACGATCATACCATATTTACTTATATACCGAGGTAGGCTGTAAGAATCCGTCTGGGTAAATACCTCGGTTTCGCCTATTTCTGCTTGTTTACAACTCCTTGTAAGCTGTATTTCGATTGTGGCATGAGCAATATGTTAAATTGAATATATTTTTAAGAAGTACTATTAAAACAAATTATAAATAAGCATGTACAGTTTTTGCTTCTTGTACTAATAATCTAATTCGTAATGATAAGCACTTTTCATAACTATTTCTTATTAATATATGACTTAGCAACACTAGTGAGTGCATCTAACCTTGCTTGATGTCAGTAAAGACATGAACTTGTTACCATATATTTTCAATTAACCATCACTCAAGAAATAAATTGCTATTTTCGACGTTTGATTATCAAGATTACACGATATGTCAGGGTCCCTTTCCTAGTAATGTCAGAATATCCCAAGATAATTTAAAATAAAGTGGTTCCTTGTTAAATGTAACCGCAACCCAATGTCATACTTTGAACCCTAAGACGCTGGCATTGACATTTTGTTATAAATGAAATAATAAAATCCGTTACCTATTATTTGGTTCCGTCAATTGCAACATTAAACTTCAAGGACATTGAAAAGCAACAAAACGATTCAGATATAAAAATATTTTTATTGTAAGTGGTTTGCTTTATAAAATTAAAAAAATTAATAACATTTCATGTTAATGTAACATAGTTAAATTGAAAAAAAAAATGTTATAGGTTACTTAATCTAAAATTAATAACGCTAACTATTTTTTGTTTAAACTAGCTGAATCAGGTTATTTTATGCTTAGTAATAATGATATATTTAGTAATTCACTATTAATCCGAATATTAGATTTCATAGTTGTCATGTTGTTATGTTAGTCATCACAATTTACGAATTTTTATTTTGTTCTTGTTTGTTGTTTTGCTCAGATTTCTGTTCTGCCCTAATATCTGTTCGGTTCACCGGATTCACTTTACAAGTGATTTTATACGATTCAACCATTTTTACAGAATCTCTCACTAGAATTGTAGATCTTATCGTGAACGAATGCGAAAAACAAGAGGAAGTATCACACAACGCCGTATGGAAGCTTAAATACAATCGATAATGAGTTTTATCTGTTCTCTGTTTAAGTTTCATTTCGACTCGGCCCGGTAGTTTGTTCCCTTTATGCGAGCAATTAATGAAATCAAAATCCTCCAACGTGACATCCTTATTGTTTTCGTCCCGGACACAAACGTTCCAGTTTTGTGGCGCCCCTGGAGTAAACTTAACGTTCTTTGTGTCTCCATCCAAACTGACATTAAAATAAATAATTAGGTTGCCGCATTTTCGATTTACGAACAAATCGTTCTGGTATAATATTAAATTCTCTGGTTCAGTGAATTTTAGGTCCGGGAGGCGTACCTTGAAGTCTTGACATACATTTTTAACTAAGTTGAATAACTTTATACTGTGATTATTTGTGTCTGCAATGAATAAATACTTGCCGTCTGAACTGAGTGCTAAACCAGATGGTTCATTGAACTTGGCGGGTTCTGCACTCTCAATTTTGGTTGGTGTAAGTGTGGTAACTCTTTGCGTGGCTACATCCACCTTCTTGATCTTGTGATTGTAGGTATCAGCTATGAAGAGAGTTTTTGATGTATCGCAGTAGGCGACTCCTAATGGGTGCTGTAACTTTGCTTCCACACCGATATCATCTACATCTCCATAAGCAAATAGATTCTGAAAAACAAAATACTACTTAATACTTGATACATATTACTACGATATTATGATACGATACAATAATTGGTCAGAACTGCAAATTTGCTTCCGAGTCTAGATTGTATGAAAACACAATTTTGTACAATCACAAATTGGTTAAATAAAAAAGTCCTCTGTTTAGAAGGGCTAATAAGTTAAAAAAATATTCTGAATGGGACTACTGCTGTGTGTGAATGGTGTGTGTGATATTAGATGTTTATGTATTTTTTCACTAAAATTGAACTGCTTCAGATTATATTTGTAATCATGACAAGACAAGTTTTAGGCTAGTCATATACACTACGGTTAGTTGCCATAATGCGCAGTCGGTGTCAGATTCCAAGTGTATGTCGCAGTATTTATTATATTCATGTTTATCACAAGCTGAAGATGTCACACATTGGTTTTATTTTATGAATTAAACCATATTTGATTGTATTATATAAAATAGCTATTGTATTTAAGTTTAAATAAATAGACAAACATACGATAGGATTGCGGTCCCCGCCGCAAAGCGTAGACACCTGTCCAGTGGACAGAGCCAGTCTTCTTATCGACGAACTTTCCGAATCCGCTATGAATATCTCAGGGTTTGGACCTGTCCATATAACAATGAACCAAAATTAATAATATATACACAATAATATTTCGCATTAATATTCGTGTAAATAAGAATAAAAGTATCATATGTAGTTATTCAAAAGTTTATACAAATAATAATAAATATATAGTCGCATAAATCATTGTTTCACTAAATATATAGTATAATTATTGTATAAGCGCAGCCGTTCTAGAATTGTCATATTAATAATATTAGTCGACACATTCTTTTTAAAATATATGTAATTACGACAATAAAACTAAAAAATACATCTCCATATTAACACTATCATAATGTGCATATAATCTATACATATAAATAAAATTGGAGTGTCTGTTTGTAATATTGAAATAATCGTTTTTTACTACATGCATATGAATATAAATACGGTACATAAACCAAAATCATATTTTTTACAATTTTTGTCTGTCTGTTTGTTCCGGCTAATCCCTGAAACGGCTGGACCGATTTTGACGGGACTTCTTTTGGCATGTAGCTGATGTAATAAGGAGTAACTTAGGCTACTTTTATTTTAGAAAAATAAAGTTAAATTCCACGCGGACGAAGTCGCGTGTACAGTTAGTATAATACAAAATTGGAGTCGTGTCGTATCAACATTCAAAGAACATGATGGAAGATCGTGAATAGCCGCAAGAACTCCACTGACAAGAGTGTGCTTCTTAAATTATGAATGAATAAATTATAATAAAAGCTGTGCTTACCGGTTCTAAGCGTTATTCCAGAGGGTTGTGCAAATGAAGCGGTATGCGGATATGCGCTGTTCCGGGCGGCCTCGTCGCCTGACCCAGCAATACACGCACATGTGCCTGAAAACAAAAACATTTTTTTTTATACATCAAACATCGTTATTGGTATAAATGGTCGTTTCCATTGTTGCAGCTTCGTCATATGTTTATTAAAACAATTCTAGATAAATTATTGACATGTAATGTTAATATTCTATGTGACATATGATACCTTCAGTAAATGTTTTGTATTTCCACCAAATTGTTGTATCCAAAAAGAGCGCCCAAATTTGATGAGAACCAGCTTCCGCGATTAACAGCACACGACGCTTTTCGTCTTTCTTTTCTTTATCTAAGAATAAAATGCAAACAATTTTACGATAAAGTATTGAAAATTGCAAGACGACCTAATTCATAATGTCATAAAGTAATAATGTCTGGGAGATTTCCGCTGCTCGTTAACAATAGGTTTCAACTAATAATATACGATAGATACGGGTCTGTTATTGCTAATATATTCATATTACTGCTTAAAACCGCGAAATGGTGTAATAAATCCTCCACGGTATAATTCCTTCTGATTTACCCGAATGAGAACGGACATTTGATTGTGTGTTTAATTTATCAATTATGCCTATTATTTTATTAAAAAATAAAATGCTTTTACAATTAAGACTTATATGCTGGAATATTCTTGAAAGCTATATATATATAAACGCGTCTATTACGTATAAATAATCATTATAATGGACACCTTTAACCTCTTCTTTGTCATTCTTTTCTTTATCAGTTTCCTTTGGTGCTATGCCGACGGAGGCTGGCGATGGACGCACCGACATGTCCATATCAGGAGTAGTGTACAGTAGTATGTCCCACGGAGACGACAACGGCTGGAGGCCTAGACACTTGCCACCTGAAGAAAAATTTAAATCTTTTAAAGTACGCAACAAATTTTTATGCCATTGACCGCCAACAATAGAATGATTCAAGAAGGTTTATAGGTATAATACATAAATATTATAGAATAGAAAACCCGAGAAATTTAAAGATTTAATGCACCCGTGTGAAGCCAGGGCGGGTTGCTAGTTAATACTATAATAATAAAAACAGGAGGCATCAAGAATAAATTGAATGGTGATCTCGGCATCTCCCATGCGGTGCTATCAATGTTCTTGGAAAGTGATTTTGTCATAGATATATTTTTGCGATATATTACTTTATTACAGGTTTTTATTAATATTATAACACTGTAAGTCACAAATTATAGTTTTTTCGCATAATAGATTACTACAGCTTTTTTATCACCTCGGCTGTTGATGTTTCAAATTTAATACACTAAGATGCCAATTGAAAGTATTGAAATAAATTTACAAATTTACAAAAATGTATTACAGTACATAAATACCTAGATTTCCATAAACATTTTGCTTCCTTGTGCCAGCTAATATTTCAACAGTCCCATCATCAAGATGAACCGTTCTAAGGCAGTGGTTGTTTGTATCACACACCGCCAGTACACTGCCCGAAAGCCAACACAAACCCTGCGGCGAATCGAATAAAGCCTCGTTCAATTCTAAAATATAAAATTACGAATTAAAAATATAATAACAATACTATATCAGGACAATTCACAAAGCGTCATCTAATCCCAAGCTAAGCAGAACTTGCGTTAGTACTAGATAGTTGCGTGGGTACTAGACAACTGACATAAACACAATTTTTCTTAAATACAACACTCAGACCGATTCAGCAATCATATGTGTACGATTAATGCATATGAATGAATACAAATGTTTGTACTGGGCGACGAATCGAACCTGCGACCGTCAGAATTAAGGCGTTGCTAAATTGTCATTCCACTGAGGTATGTATAATAAAATGTACTTAAATTCGTCGTACACTGTTATATATATATATATACTTTTTAAGATAAATATTACTACTCACTTTCTCACAAACAGATAATCAAATTTGCAAAGTAATAATAATAAAAACAAAGTTCTTATTAGCTTGTCAACAAAGGATAATCTTTACTATGCGATGTTGAGCAAAATCATCAGGAGTGAACTTTTTCAATTTTTAACTTTTATATTATTAATTCTGATTAAATTCAATGATTTTATCTAGTACTCTACTTCAAACATGCCACAATTGATACAACACATACTCACTGCCATCCTTAAATCCACGCTCGGTCCCGCCAATTATTCGTAAGATTAGGCCTGAACAGTCTGTAAGTAGTATTCGGTTGTTTCCACTGTCCGATATAGCTATAAATGGTTCTTCAGAACGGCCACGGTAGAATGGATTTAATGCAACCTAATCATCAAATGTTATAATTAGAATTAAGCAGCATTCCATCTAAGTATAAGTAAAAAATGCATATTGAAAAACATTGTGGGCATGATAATAAAAATTTTAACATTAAATTAAAAAATTCCGTAAATTTATTGATAAAGTATGTGCAGATTGTAATAAAATTTATATAACATTCCAACTATACATCACCTTACTAGGAAAATGGAGGATCTCATTATCTTTCGCTTTCAAGTGCTTCGATGGAGCCATTGGTATGGAAGCGACGGAAATTTTAGGACTAAAATACCGTAATGCAGCTTGGACATAAGCCACCAGACGGTCCCTGTGTCCCTCACCTGTTATCACAAACAGTGGCCTATTTCCTAAGCCTGTAAATATATAAAATAAATTGTAAATTAAAAGTAACATATTTTTTATTTTATATTCAATTCAATTCATGTCAAAGAAGACGAACCTAGAATGAGAAGAGTTGGCCAGCATTTAATTCCCAGTGAGGTCCAAACACTGCTATCAGGATCATTAACAACTGGGTGGTGTATATTGTACCTTTGAATTGCTGCTAACACATTGGATGAATCCTTTTCATTGTTGAACTTGGCACAGTGCACACCTATCTAAAATTACACAGATAAATATAAGGCATGTCTGTATAAATAATACATTATTTATAGAGCCTACTAGTAAGCTCCATAGCTGTTGATTATTTATGCCTGCATTTTATTATCTAGAAACTTAAACACAATTCTCAAAGAACCATTTAATAAAAAACACCATATGAACACTGGAATAAATGTGTCTAGACAGTCCACACACAGGTTAAGAAACACTTGGTCATAATGCCATAATAACACATGAGTATAATAACAAAGAAGTCTGTCTGTCTATTAAAAATAGTATATACTTTTATGACTATTTATAGACTACTAAAAATCTATATTATCAAATTAGGTATTATTTCACATAACACTTCTAGTAGCAGTGGTTACTCCGGTTTCCACATTTAGTGTGTGTGGTCTCACATATATACTAATAGTACTGGAACTAAAAAAAATAATAAAAATTTTATGCTGTACTTCAGTTTAAGTCATTCTATAAATACATACTCTTTTGAAATCTTTGAAATTAAGAAAATTATACAAAGTAGGTTTAGTACACACTATCCACAAACTCAATCATCAAGTATATGGGAGTGAAACAATAAACCTCACCACGACAAGTCCATTTTCAACTCTGTGCAGCTTCTCCAGGTACTCTAAATCAGGCAAGACATGATAGCAGTTGATACAGCAATATGTCCAAAAATCCAATACCACTACTTTTTCAGAGCAATGCTGAGTCAAAGATAGGGGTTCAGAAACATTAACCCATTCTAAATCTGAAATAGGGAATAAAAGATTCAACTTAACTTACACAGGTTTAGGAAATGATATATCAAGCAATTTTGCCAAAGAGGCTAAGTGAAACATTTACAATACTTTTTAAAACCTTCATAAATGTGATAACTGGAATTATGTGAACCCATTTAATATGTATATTATGTGAATGCAATTATAAAACTTATTCTAATTCATTTTATGATGAAAATGGTCCACTGTCATGAGTGTATATCCTGGGTTTTAGCTCAATATACCTATTATGTTTAGTTATTAAGGGCAACTAAAAAGCCAACTGAATTTGTTGGATTATAGAGTACTGCCTCAGGGGGCTGATAGTCTGTATTTTTTTACAAAAGAGTACCTTATAATCTGACAAATTACAGATTCAGAGATAAAATTCTAAATGTTATATATGTATGTATATGCAGTCTGCAGTACAAATAATACTTCATTATGTATGTCAAATACTATAAGATTCGTTACGATATAGGCAGTCTAAAATATCACATTTTTCTTTAATTAAATAACATTACAAGACCCGTCTGGTGTGGTGATGCATATAAACTTGTTCAATCATTAATTAGCAAAGAGGGTAAAAAAATTATTTTTCAATAATAATAGACTATATAATAATGTCGGATTACAAGGAGGGCCGGATAAACCAGGGGTCGGATTACAGAGGGTCCACATTATTATCATTCAAGTTTGAAAGAACTGAGATATGTCGATTCCAGTAAGATACCTGTAATTATGTATCAGCTAACCATTGAGACACATTAAGATCCTCAGAAACTATAAGTAGTACTATATTTTTTAAAACCTACTGCAACAATAATTTCATTGTATACTAAAATTTTTAGAGAGGCTAATTGCGGAGAATAGAGTCCAACATACAATACAATACAATACTAAAATTTTTAACATACTTTTCTTGAAATCATCGATGGATACCACTGTAGAATATACTTTCTTTATATGGTTTACTATCAAATTTTCCTTTTCAGTCTCTTCGGTGACTTTTTCCATAGCTTCCATTAAGTCCCATGACGCTTGAGCCACGAAGTCTAATGGGCTTGCATCCATTATTTAAATAATTTCTAAAAAACATTAACTTTTCAATAAAATTACTATAGCTAACGGTAACTAATATAACTGTAGCAGTATAACATTAAGTAGGTTCAAGCTCGAATGAAGCAAAATCATCATTACGTTATCAAATTATATTGTTTATGATATTTAATATAATATTTTTTATTTCAAAAATAATAGGTAATCTTTTAAACTGCTAGGAAAGAAATAGATTTGACAATTGAATTAACACAGTTTACCTAATTTTTTGGACTGGAATTGATCACAGATTTTATTCGTATGTGAATGTTTATTTTTTTTTTAATATTAATCAATGTCAATAATGTTTAAACATACACGAGTAAATCTGAGCAAGTAATCACTTGTACTATATGAAGATTCTCGTAAGGCGACACTTGATTACTAGAATACTCACTTAATATGATCTGTAGTCAACTATCAAACTATGATGTCAGTTGTCATTTTGGCAATTTAATTTTGTATTGTTGATATTTTGATTCTGATTGCAGTGATTACAATAATATTTGGTAACTTATTATTTTGCACAAAGAACGCAGTTTAAAAGTAATACATTTAAAGACAATAAATTATGCTAAAACATGGACGCAATGTTTGATATTTGTTATTTAGCTGCCGATGGTAACAATGTCGAACCTGACGATATCCCAAAGACAAAGGATAACGTATGGATTCTTGGCAAAAAATACAGTCCAGTGCAAGGTTTGTAATTTTCTCCAAGTATACTTTAATTAATAAAGCATAATATCTATATTGTTTTAATATTTTTATACTCCCAAACCTATAAAAAAATGCATACGTCACTTTGACTAGACATCAAATCGACTTATTTATTCCTTGACACTAATTTATATTATTACATTTAATGCATATAAATATCTGGTATTAGTAGTTTCACGTTTATAGCATGAATTTATATAAAGTCTAAACGAAAATTCGGAGAGCTGTTTGCTATTAAATGTATTTTTTATAATAACCTGTAATCCATATGAACATAACTATAAAAATAAGTAGAAATGTTTCAAATGGGGTTTATTTTAAGTCTAAATTAATCTGTATATTTTTTTATGAAGCTTTATTGAATATTAGATATTTGCAATATAATGGTTTATGACTGCAATATTTTTGAGGAATTTAGAAAAATATTATTTGTTATTTCAGACTTAGACCGCATAAGACGCGATATCACTTCTGTAATTTGGTGTACATACAGAAAAGGATTCATACCCATTGGTGATGAGGGTCTCACTTCAGACAAGGGTTGGGGCTGCATGTTGCGCTGTGGTCAGATGGTTCTTGGTGTTGCTCTTGTTAGAATACATTTGGCTGTAGATTGGGTGTGGAACCCAGAAACAAGGTAAAGGTTATACTTGTAATGTAATATTTAAAAAACAAAGTATCTTAGCAATAATAACAAATATATATACCCCAAATATATTAATTATCTATTATAATTTAACAATAATCAGATTATAAAGGAATCTAAAATATGTATAGAAAGTATAATACCTGCAAAATTTTTAATAATTCTTCTGTTATATATTTATAACTGTTAATATGAAAGAGTATGGGTAATTATAAATATGAGTATTATATATTATAGAGATCCTACATATTTGAAGATAATACAGAGGTTTGAAGAGAGAAAGCAAGCACCATATTCTATACACCAAGTAGCACTAATGGGAGCATCTGAGGGCAAGGAAGTGGGTCAGTGGTTTGGGCCCAATACAGTAGCACAAGTTTTAAGGTATAATGTGTTTGTACTTGCAATTGTAGATGCAAGAGATAATTGTATTATTATTATAATAGTTTTTAAGTAACTAGTGAGACCTAGGAGTCTAAAAACAATTTTTTTTTATATATAAAACAGACTATATTTTATTTAAATTATTAACACAAATAATTTTATGGCAAATAAAGATATTTACCTCTTAAAAATAAATAAGACTATATTTTGTTTAATACAAAATTAAGTAGTTCCCACATGTTAATATTATTGATATATTTATGTTGTAATGTTATATTTATAAAATGTGGACTATTGTAGATTAGAATATTTTCATTAATTTTACAAAATGAATAATGTCCATAAGTAAGTAATGTAGAGCACCACCTTCTGTTTTAAGAGTTTCACCAATATAAAATAAAACAGAGAATGTTTTATATGGGTGCATATTTTGAGTAAAATCAATATAGATGACATTAGATGTGCCCTGTAAATTTTTGCAATTATTATATTACTATTTTTATTTTAATTATAAAGTAAAATATTTTCAACAAGTACCACATTTTATTTGTGCCAGGGCCTGTGTAAAACTATTTAGGATACTCAACAAGTAGCAAATTGAGATTTATGTACATAGCTATAATCATTTTTATTTCAGAAAATTGGTTGCTTATGACAAATGGAGTTCATTAGTAATCCATGTTGCATTGGACAATACTGTTGTTAAGGAGGATATCTGTAAGTATTTTGCCTTACTTTCTATTATATATGTACTTTCATATAACCTGTTTTAACCTGAATATATATTTAATCAATTAATAGAATATCTAATATATATAATATATATATATACCTATAAATTACACAATTTGTTGTTACATAAAATTCAATTATCATTAAAGTAGATTTAGACATTGATTTTCAATTGCAGTAAAACAATGTGTGATCAATAATGACAGAGGTGATACATCAGCTGCAGCTGACAATTTAGTTGTAACAGATTGGATGCCATTGTTGTTAATAGTGCCTCTTAGACTTGGACTCAGTGAAATTAATCCAATATACATAGATGGATTGAAGGTAAGATTATCAGTTTATATACTTCATATTGTCCACAGTACCATCTGAGGGCTGTAACAAGTTAATTGGGTGCACCCAGGAAAAAGTAACGGAGAATTTAAGAAATTCTCAGTTACTTTTTCCTTAGTCCTGAGTTTATTTTAATTAAAATATAATAAATTTATAAGACATTGTTTCACATTGTAGGGTCTTACATTGATTAATCATAAATATGTTTAGTAAATTATGTAATAATTATTCGAGTGTTCACCATAGCTTCTAGGTCTTCCTGATGCCATCATCCATGATATTTGTTCTTGCTGCCACCTTATTGTTACATATTTGTTTTTGTCTAAGTATATTTATTTATTCCTGATAAATTGAATAGTGCACTTAACTGCATTAATGGATATGCTGTCTGGGCACAAATAGATGATATTAAGTTATTCAGTTGCCAAGAAAAAAGTGTAGAGGTTGATAGTGCACATTTGCTAGGAATCCTCTTCCCCTGGCCTATATATTATCTCACCAGTGTTCTTACTTATGTTTACAGATCTGCTTTCAATCCGGACAGTCTATTGGCGTGATCGGTGGGAAACCTAATCAGGCTTTATATTTAATTGGTTGTGTTGGAGATGAAGTCATATATTTAGACCCACACACAACCCAAAGATCAGGATTGGTTGAAGTATGATTTCTATAGCTTTTCTTATTTAATTATTTGATATTAATATATATACATGTGTTAGTTTTAGATTATGGTCTCTGTTTATACCTCATTTTAAGCCTGACCTGTACTACTTAATATTCATAATCATGTGCAATCCTTTTAATATTTTTTTTAAATAAGTAATCTTTATTATGAGTTTACATTAGTACTTATTTTAAAAAGACTATGTTAATTTACAGAACAAGATAACTGATGAACAAAAGGAAATGGATTGTTCGTATCATTGTAAATATGCTTCTCGGATACCCATACTTGAGATGGACCCATCAGTAGCAGTAGTAAGTAATAAAAAAAATCATACATCATTTTAAATAACCAACAAAGGAATTCTCCTTTTATTAAATTTACCTATTATATTTAAAATTACCTGATATGAAAGAGATTTTTTTTATATAGCGTTTTTCCTTAGAGAGTTTTCGAAAGTATGTCATAATAAGATTCAAGCATAATTTCTTTTTTACTTAGTTTTATTTTTAGAAAAGTTTATGTATTCAATGCGATCGATTTTATTTTTATTTAATACCCAGGGAATCTGCTTCATTGTTAACTCGCATTTTTGGTCAATACTTGCGTTATTTTTTAACATCATATTTATTTTTTAAATCATGTAATATTTCATTTAAGTGTTTCCTGTGTCGAACGAAGAACGACTTTGAGGAATTATGCAATACCATAGAAAATAAATTAATGTGTGAAAGTCAAGCTCTATTTGAAATATGTGAGAAGAGACCGGCGCATTGGGGCCCTATGTGCACCGATATCGACCTTCAGAATACATCACTGTTTACTGGTAATCATAAATGTTTAATTAAAATTAAATTGGTACCTCCTTTAGCCTTAGCTTCTTCTCATCTATAGCCAGGATTTAACCGCAATAAATTCCAGACCGGATCGTATTTAGGTCGACCTGACATGATGCGGTATCACTAATAATTCTCTTCCCTGGCTAATTAACATAGCACCACAAACTTCAGAAGTCGAGTAAAACGAGTCAAAAGAAATGAAAAAGACAAAAACGCTGTATCAGAGCGGGACAATATGATACGATGCGATTTGGAGGCCGAGAACGACTGCCATTTATTTTAATTAGACTTCGAGTTATCCCTCTGGGAATAGTAGCTATAATGTTTTTATAAGATAAAAATCTTATCCTCTTCAAGGCTGAGGATCGTGACTACCAGGAATGATTCTTCCAATCAATATCCAGATGACTATTTTGTGCCAAGTGAATCGCTAACTGTATATTCCGTTTTAAAGCATATCGAATGGTATCAATCCATCGTGCAGATGTACTATCTTTGCTCCTTCTTTCGTCCACGTAGCTTACCATTATACATTTTTCCAAATTATCTGGTTCCTGACGGGCCGTTACCAATTAAGTAACATTAGGAGATGCTGGAAGCACAAAGTAGAGAGCCGATTTCCGGTACCGAGTTTTTTCAATATAGACACAGAGATAAATAAAGTATTAATACTTTTACTAAAATACTTACTAGATATAAAGTAATATATAATTTTTCTTTTCCAGAATTTGAAGACGTTGATAGACAATTCGATGATTCAGATAACGAGTTTGAAATACTATGAGTAGAATGTTTATGACAATGGTCAATAATAAATCATCACAAACCTGTTTGGTAACTATAGTTATAGTTATATGAACAGGAAAAGGGTTTCGTAATATTTGTATCATAAATTAGACAAGTGGAAATACCAATGAAAATGGAAACTTATTGCTGTGCCTGTAGGTATGCAATAGCTCATACAAACAGCTCATTAGAAATACGAATGCATGCTATTGTTATTATATTATAACCGACAAATTATATACTGTAATTCATAGAGGATCTTCCATGTACAATTGATATTGCAGCTATCTCTTATCACAATAATTGTACATTATTTTTTCTTAGACGACTGTCCCAAATGGGCGTAAATATTTTCAGGGTTGCTGTAAATAGTTCCCACTTTCTTTATTGTTTTTCTTTAGCATAGAATAGATATAATGGGCATAGATTATATGTCAGATAGACGAGAATAGAATAACTAAGTACTTGTTTATATTATACTTTGCAGTGCCTTTCAAAATGATTAATAATTTTCGTTGTAGTTATATATGTAAACATAATTATGTTGTATAAATAAACCTATACTAAATTAACATTCCTATGATGTGCTTGCGCAAGTAGTTAACTACCTACTCGTTTTATGGTACAGTGTATTGGAATTATTTAGTGAAATAGATTGATATTGTGAAAGAATATATTGAAAGCATATATATTATTAAAAAAAATTAAGTGGCACTCGGGGACTGCCGCGGTAAAGCTATTGCATAGCATTTTTATCAACTTATGCAATTATAATGATTTATTTATTTTATTTATGCATTATTTTTTTTTTCTTTGATATTAATTGAAGTTACACTTTTTGAGCTTGATGACCGATAAGAAAACAATTTATTATACAGTAATAAAATAATATACTTTCTCAGCTTATTTCGATCTGTGCGAGCTTCGTACACTATGCTAGGCGCACGCACACAAACAACGTGCAGAAGTCTGCCAAACTGAAACGACGTTAGACGATGCACAGCTTTCAACGCTGTACCGCTGTGGCGGGTGTTAGGTTTATTTTCTTTACGGAATTTCTTGATTCGATCGCCGCGCTCAAAGTCCGCGATAAAAGATATGCAATAGCTTAACATTTTGTACTTTACTAACCTTATTATTAATTGGTTTGTTATTGTTTTATTATTATCTAGTCATAGTGTAGTTAGGTACAAAATTTATAACATAATATGTATATCCTATGGGTTTTACCTTCATAACTGATACAATTACATATTGATATTATCAGATTTATGCAAATAACTATGGGGTACTTGTATATTACGACAAGCAGAAACACAATGCAGTAAGTAACATGTTATATAATAGATGTATCATTATTTTTCTTTGTCTAAATTGATTTTGTTAATTTGTCATTAGTAAATGTAGAATCTCCCTGAAACATAACAAATTAATTTTAGTTCTGACGATGAATAATGTTCATGTCATGTATTTAGAACTTTAGTATTTTTGTAATAAGTGATAAATTACTTTGTCTGCAGACCATATTGTCTTTTCAATATTTGCAATGATATTAACTGCGCACAATTATATACAATAATGTCTACTTTTTTATTATATTAGCAATGTGTGTGTGAATTTATTAAGGTAGTAAAAAAGTTAATTTTATGTCATGTTATAATCATGACGCTATGAGGCTACAGTACCAAAACCGACAAACAAACTAGAAACTGTGTGGTATAGTTTGTAATATTAGTGTATAAGTAATGTATTATCATAACGTGTTATCAGAAAATTTTAAATTGATGTCATCAGAACCGTAGTGGGTATCGCCATATTAACATTTCAATTTCAATTACCATTCTCGAATCTAAGCTTATCTAATAGAAATGTATAATTAATATAATGAAAAGGATAACATGTGTGATAATACTATTTTTGTTACAATCCACGTAAATATATACTATAATTCTCTATTGCTACTTTATCACAGTAACGTCGCAGAAAATGTCAATGGTACTTTGTCCATCAAAAGATTTATATTGCGCTTGCTAAATTAGCTGCTGAGTTTCACCACCGTACCACCCGCCAGAAACTGAAATACCATCCTGATCATCTGGATGAATGGCGGTCTTCCACAGTGCGGTTTTCTAGAAACTTTTTGCCTCGCACAACCACATTGTGGAATCACCTTACAGCAATGGTATTTCCGAACCGATACGATATTGAAACCTTCAAGAAAAGAGCTTATTCCTTTTTAAAAGGCCGACAACGTACTTGCAATTCCCCTGGTGTTGCGGGTACTCATGGGCGGCGGTAATCACTTACCATCAGGTGAGCCGCATGAACGTTTGTCCCCTGTTTTATAAAAAAAAAAATCAAACAGCTGACAAATATTGTAATTGTTTAGCAGTGTCCGTGTTTTATTCTTTCATAAATTTAACTTTTTTTATACTTTTGAGCCATTTCATCCACACACACATCTAGTTTCGCCAGTGGCGGACTAATGGGAGTAGCCTGACCTGAAAGGCCTCCGATGTTTCCATGTTCTATTGATGTAATCTTTAACAAGGCTGTAAAATATACCTAGTACTTATTTAAAAGGCGTTTTGGGAAAAAATACGAATAAATACAGCCTGTAATGTACACTGCTTAGATTTGTTTAAGATTTTAGGTGATTTAATATATGTCGCCCCGAACATCTGACGGGTTAGTCCACCACTGAATATCGCTTATATTATACTCATAGTTGTATCACATGCCAGTAGGTTAGATTAATATACTTTGTAATAATCTATTGATTGGTTTTGTAAATGTCTTGGGATACTTGTGTTTAGTGTTTGTATCTAATTCAAAATTCATTATTATTGCAGTTTCGATGCAGCTGCCAAAGACTCAAATATTTTTTATAAATAAAAATAAAATAATTGAAATATTGGTTTTATTTTTCGTGTATTTTGGATACATATCATAGGAGTTAAGTGCATTAGAACCTGATGATTTTCTGGTTTTACTGCACCTGTATGTTTATACTACGCAGAAATATCGGTATATATCGAGAAAAGCCCATCTATGAATTCGGTAAGCAAATTAAAGTTTTATGATCATAAAAGTCTGGAATGGATAAGGCTGCCCATAAAACACGTATAGTGAAGTTATATTCCAGAAGGGCAAGATATTTTTTATCAAATTCGCTGCGCGTTTTATTAAAAAAAGTAAAACGGTAGGAAAGCAACAGTTTGTAACACGGTTTTATGGTTGAGTTTATTTAAAATCAAGTGTGTTCTTACATATTATGGTCTTAATATCTTATGTAAAATGAAAATCGTCATGTCGTACGATATACAGGCGTATTTAACACAGTCGGCTCTATTACGCTCTCGCCATCGGCTCGGGCTCAAATTCAGCTTCGTGTGCTATAACCATCATAACACATTTATATCGTAATATACTATATCAACACGCTCCAGTGTTTAATTTAAACTCATTTATATACTAACTTGATACATGAAATTAGATTCATTAATTTGCATAGTTTTATAATTTGTGGACTTAAGGGTATGTTATGAAATTAAACAAGTATTGAGTAGTAAATTGGACATTATACATTACATTTATTTATGTACATATGATATATGTTCTTTGGTAGGACAATTATATATTGAAGCAATAAGAACTATGTTAACACGCAAACGGGACATTCACATGTATATTAGTGTCCAAACACAAACATGGCCACAATATACTGTTATACTGTACTTCTAAGGACATATAATAACAGCCATAAATTGGGTGATACATTTTCTAGATACCACCATAATGTTGATTAATTGATTCTTAGATTATTAATTTAGTACGTATATACTTGAATATGTTCACAAATAAATCTATTATTTTTATGCATAGCGACATAGATTGAAGACTGCATATGATGGTCAGGCTCATAGCCTCATGGTCCTGTTTCACTTTAGATAGATAAGAGTAGGTACTCTTAAATAAGTATACCATAATTTATCAAAGATTTATTGTTTACTTGATGTGACTATGTAGATATAGTCATATGATGGTAAATACACGATAATAAATACAAAATCAGTTTATAAAGGTACTGAACACATTTCAACTGAAATATTGAAATGTCATTATATACTCACCCGCCATATACTGGGCGGTAATAATCACTCGGTCCCATTGAATCTTCTAATTGATTGTTCTCTTCATCCGATGAGGCTGTAAAGGCCAGCGACGGCCTATAGTATCAGAAAATTCGAAAAAAAAATGTGCTCCCAATGAAGTCAGTTGTATCATATTTAGATCAAATAAGATTGATATGATAATATGGAAAGGAACTAATGATATTATATTTTATTAAATAATAGGTATATCATACACCTATTATTTGATAAAATATAATATCATAAAATATTCCAAGAATATAATTTGAGGTTTGGCTTTGCTCAAAAACATAAATATAAATTATATTCTATGTGACACTAAAATTCCCTATTTTTTCACAACCATATCAGATCAATATACAAAAATCTAAAAGACAATTCAAAGCGGTTGAATTGAAGGCGATCACCAAATTATATATAACCGTGAATCTTGCAATATCCAAAGATTTTTACGAATTTACTAACAATTAATATGGCAACGCAAGGTATAACAATATTATCTACGTAAATGGGAAGGTGCATTTATGTTTTATGTTTGTTCCGTCATAATAAAATAAATCAATATATGTATACATATATAACTAACTACAATTAATTAGCCATATAACTATATATATATATATATACAATTAATTGGCACAATAAAATTATTAATTGTGAATATATGATAAAATTAATTTTGGCCATGTGTTCTTTTTTACTATTATTTGGCCCCTCACACGAGACTGTATAAGAAAATATTCTTAGAAGAGCAATTCTTATATAATTTTTATTCAAAACGTTGGTTCAGGCAAATAAACATTAGAAGTAGGTATATACATTGCAAAATCTAAGTATTTGTTTACATAATTATTAAAATACCAAAAACGTTACTTATGTTTTGAACGAGTCTCTATGAAATATTTTTCATTTAATTAATATTTCTAGTATACAATTACAGAAGTTATCTTAATCAGAACTTTAGACTTAAAGCTGGCAAGAGAAGCATAATCAATTTTCAGTGAGACATTGTTTACATTTTAATTGAAAAGAAACAAATACAAAATTCTCAAATGCAACTCTGTATAGCAATGCAACTCACTTTCAACGTGGATAATTACGAAACAACCAATCACAGAAAACTTTCGTCTCTAGTATGTATCTAAGATTTACACAAGTTTCATGAAATTAAATTACAACACAGTAAATATTGCACAGATACAAACTGACTAGCTACTTAATACGTCAAAAAGAAAACGACTGAAAACGTCTAACTAAATAAAACAAATGCCACAAAATAGTTTTAAAATCATGCCCTGATTCGTTTTCTGTTAGTAACGTCGACATAGTAAATATACTAAAACTCAAACGAAATTACACTTAAATTTCAAAATTACTAGAACCTCTTTTCCTTTCTTCGTCACTTCTATTTGTTACTCATGTCATTTATATAATATTAGAAATTACTAAGACAGATACAATCTAATGAGGCATGATAGAGGTATTACATACATATATAGCTCGTATGTACACATACTTTTGAAACATTTATATCAAATAGAATTTTAGAAATATGTTAGATCGACATGTAGTTACTGTGTACAGATAATATTATAAAAAAAAAATACAAAGTACGTAGTATTTTCCTACACAGCACTAAATACAACAGTTCACGAAATATCTGTCTCCACATCACAACCATCTATAAATTCTAATTTTTTCGAAAAATATTTTTTATACAATTTAACATTAAAAAATATAAGGACTCTTGACTAAGTAATAGATTCTCTACTGGACGTAACTATTTACATAAAATTCACAATGTTCACGAATAATTTTGAACGGTAAGTTTTCATCTATACATATAAGCTACAATTTTATATACATATATGTAACTGTATTTAGCCAACAGTGGACATAAGTACTAAATGTAATTATTATTTTTACAGTACAATGATATAATTTTGATTAGCTATTATAAGAAACAATAAGAACAATCAAATCATTATTGTTTCTTTACTTATAAAAAATGAATAATTTGATGATATTAATCTGTATAAACAAATTTTTATAGTCTATTCTTAGTACGGAAGAATGTGCCATAAAATTAAAAATATCATCAAAGTAAGTAAGTATTAGTATTGGACAAGAATATTTAAAATATAGTTTATTTTGAAGCCCGACTACAATCCATCACCATTTTGCATTATTCTTAGAACAAATTTATTTTATTTAACAGTAATGTTTATGACGGTCTTTGCCCATTACACAACGAATAAAAAACCAGACACCAAATTGTCTCAATGAAACATTAAAAAAGTTTTATCATAAACATATAACATACATTTCTACACAATATTCTTGTCTATAATCTAGACTATATAAGTGTATAGTAGCAGTAGTATACAACTAAACAATACATAAGATATATGAGACAAATTGTTGTTTACTCCAACGAAATGCTTATCTAGTAAATAAATGATAATTATAATTTGCCGAATGTTAGCCTCTTTTATATTTATTTTTGCAGAGTATTCCTAAACTATTTCCTTTTACTCCGGATTCTTAATCTCTTAGTTGGGCTTAACCATTATGAAACTGGTAATGATAGTAAAGTATTCAGTAACATTTCTGATTAGATTAAATTTACAATATAATCCACGAAACCAGCTTATAAACATAAACAATAAGGTATGGTAAGGTATATACATACAAAATATTAGTATAAAGTAGATTTTTGATAAAATATCTTCGAAAGAGAATTAGATACATATAACAATTTAAAATATTATTGATTCAGGGAAGCTGTAGTAATCCTATTAGTCAAGAAATTAATTACCAAAACTGTTATATTATCAACTGATCCTCTGTAATAAGCTTGGAGTGTTAAACTCTTAGCGCCATAATCTGGTTCGTCCAATCTTTCCTTTATGAATTTAACTGCCTCTTCATTGGAAAATGTATCCCATAGACCATCTGAAGCAAGGACTAAAAATATTGGTTTATGATCATCTAAATTAAATGTGAGGATATCAGGATCTGCAATAACAAATTTTTTGTCCTTTAGAGGGTAGTCTCCCATCGCACGAGATGTTGCAAGGATGCCTGCTACTCGCCATACACCATTGAAGGCAATATATCCTCCAGCTGCTTCAATCCTTTTCTGTTCTCGAACCTGACAAATAAGATTTTTTTATAATAATAAACTGACAAAGGACATATGACACACAGACTCACATCAAATTAGACAATGTCATTTAAAATGTAATTAGTGCAACAATCCTGTTAAATACATAATAATTCTTTTATTTTCTAAATTATATAACATTCTATGACTTTTCATTACTAGTTCGCAATATAACTTACTTGTTTATTAAAGAAATATATAAGCTTACAAGTTTTCCTTCAAAGAGGTGAAATAATCACTTTATTTGGAAAGAGAAAAATCATATTTTATCTAATACTTGCAAAATGTAATAACAGAGCTGTATTGTATAGATATTCTAAGCAATTTTAAAGAAATTACTAATATTTACTGAAGTATATGACATTACCTGCTGTGGTTTATGGTCGAAAGACACAGGAATGGCATTGCCACGTGAATCACACATTACACCTCTAGAATCTCCAACATTTGCAACAATCAAATGACTGCCTTCCATTATAGCTATTAGAGCAGTTGTGCCAGCTACATTCAGTGAACGCTTCGCAGCTTCTACAAGTAATCTATCAGCAGCAAGTACTTCATCAGTCAGAAGTTTACCAAAATTAATTTTACCTTTATCTAAGTAACTTGATAATGGTATAGAAACTGTTTTTACAGGTTTAGTAGTAGGTCTCACTTCTCTAGTAATTGGTCTTGCTTTTGAAAGTTGTGCTAAAAGTTCAGGATCTGTTATTTCCTTTTTGGATGTGTCATCGGCTGTGCTTACTGACTTTTTAAAGCTAGTTTTTCTTTCAACAGTCACATTACTCTCGTCTTTCGATTTAGTCTCATCAGGACTCTCTTTTATGGGTGTACTGATTGTTTTGCCATCTTTAAATGCACTTAGTTCTATAATTTTATTAAAGAGGTTTTGAATTAAATGGTCTTTAGCATAATTAGCGGCAAACTCGCCCCCGTGTCCATCAAATATTGCAAATAATGATATTCCTGTACTGTTAATGTTTTCATTGATGATAAATCTGTCTTCCATGTGCATTCTTCTACCTTTGATTGCATAAGCAGCGCTAAGCGTACCTTTTAATTCCCAGCTTTGCTTGTCGGCATCTGAACCTTCCATGAATTTCATCCGTTGAACTGCGCTTATAGGGCTCATAGCCTGAGATAATCGGCTTAGGACAGTGCGGCTCCATAGTTCAATTGTTTGTAAATACATGAAGAATATTATAACACCAAGTGTGAAGACTACAACGTCTGACCGTAATAAATAAAGTCTGACCATTTTCCATAAATAGCTCACGGGAGTATCAAAGGGAACACTGCTAGTAAAACGGGATAGTATCTTCATGAAAGAGAGATAGGTCTGATGTAAAACTCTGTCCTCCAACTCGTCTTCCATGTCTTTAAGTCAAGAAGTGAAAAATCCAATAAAGCGATTCGTTACAAACAAAAAATAAGCTGGGCGATAAATAAAGTGTTTCTTTGTACAAACATTCAACAGAATTTCACAGGCGTAGTACTTTTGTTGACGTTGAGTGACGTTCACACATGACGATAGTGACGTCACTGACAGCCACTACTAATTTGTGGCTGACATTTTTGACTTTGAAATGTACACTTACTGAATATTTTCAAAACAGCAGGCAAAAGTTTAATTTCATACAGTTAAATAGATAGCAAAATAATTTTACGTTTCTGTAGCTTACTGATAGGGCTGTAAAAGAATTATACTACGAAAAGTATTGTATACGTATTTACTAGTTACAAAACCATGTGGTACTCGTTACTACAGAATCGTTACGTTACTTATAGCCAACTAATTTTTTTTTAATTATTGCCCGTAGCTATTATAATTTTGTAACGTTTTAAAACAGACTATACGTTATGCTTCTTTAGGCTTTGTCTAGAATTAATATTTTTAGGACGCAAAAATACCTACGTATCTTTTCTTTAAAGTAAAAAAACATTACTGGCCACTGTAGTATATCAAATCGCTCCTAGTGAAATTCGCAATTTGCTGACCGATTTCACTTAATGATAATCTTTAGAACCGCATCATAACAAAGATTTTATTGTTTCTTAAGATAAACTACGCACTGTACTGAAGTGTACTGTTTTTTGTAGTAACAGTCACTGTACGTTGTGTTTTATTAAGTGGTTCAAAACATACTATTTGTAGCTGACGCTAACCACCATTTACCACTTGTAAATTTGATTTAAAATAAATATGGGGCCGTTCAATTATTACGTAAGCACTATGGAGGGGGGGGGGGAGGGGCTCTTTGCTTTACTTATTTTGGATGACATATGAAGTTGGGGAGTCTAGATGAACATTACGTCTTCGTATATATTAATCCAAAAATGTTTACGTAAACGTGAGCAGAGGGTAAGAGCTTTGCTTACTTTTGCTGACAAGGTGGATGGGGGGGGAGGGGGGGGGGGTAAATAATTGTAATAAATCTACTTACGTAATACTTGAATGGCACCTATATATATGTCCAATTATGCCTTAAGTCGTACGCGCTTTCAACCAGTTCTCATGCACGGTACAAACATACGTATTATACGTAGGTATACGTGCATGGTTAGTTGTAGGTATTGGTCTGAGTGTTTCTCAGACACCAGCTTCTCACAGCAATTGGTTGTCATAGTAATTTTGCATTTTCCAAAAATACTACATGTATTTAGCGCTATACATATTTGTGAGGAGAAAGAAATAATAAATTATTATTATTTGTTTTTTCATTACAAGTTATTGCCCATCCCTGATTGCAACACCACAATGCCTACATTATGTGTTCGAAAGTCACAACAGACAAAATTGCTAATTTTATAATAGAATTGAAGAAAGGACTGGAGACCCATCGTAAGAAAAACGAATGTCCCGTAGACATAAAGACATCTTCACGCAAGGAACTTTTATTAATAATATGCAAATAAGAAACGGTTATATTTTTATAAAATGTATTAAAACAGTGAAATTCAGATTATAGTTAATCGGTAGAAGATTAAGAATTGCATATAAAAGTCGTATTTTGTGCTAAATGTATACCTTAGAACATTTACAATAAGAGACGCCATCAATACTATTCCATCGAAAAATTACTTTTGAGTATATATATTTAAAGAAAATTTTAGATTTATAAAAAAATGGAGGTGATAACCATTCAGTTATCATATTCTGAGAAATTATTGCGTCATTTTCAGACTTAAAATGTAAACTACAAAGATACTGATAGTGTAAGTCCACCTTAGGTATGTTGAATTGAATTAAGAGTACACTTTATAAACTTTGTTATCTAGAAATCATCAGACAACGGCGCATCGTATTGTAAATGAGCCAAGATAACGAGTAGGTAATAATGACTACATATGATTACAATACTAGATTTGCTTAATTTATGGCATTTATTTGTGATCAAATCTTACACAATACTAAATAATCACAAGGTTTCCATCACCTAACTACGTGCAAGTACAAGATACGAGTAGGTAATTAATATAATTGTATATTCACGATAAGTATGTATTGACAAAGTGCTAGAGGTAGCAAATTAAAAATAAGTAAATACGCAGGCTGTGAAAACTAATAATATAAATATTCGATGTAACATATTTTGTAACCTAAAGTAAATTAACAAAATAAATGTCCAATACACAGCCCGGATCGTTTAACATTTCATTCTGCATAAATGAATTTCTGAACAAATAATGTCTGGAATGGCTGAATTGTACATTAATTTCATGAATATACATACATAGATACACATGTTTAATATATTGGTGAACAGTTGTTTCTTGAATAACTAGTTTACTTTTAGCTTGTTTATTGATTAGATAACTAATTCTAAAAGTCGTTATACCCTTTTGTTTAACACATATTTTTCAGCGAGTATATATATATATATACATGCATAATTTATAATATATTTTGAGTGAAAGTTACATACCCAGTGAATGAATTTCCTATAGTGAAATCATATTAAATTAACTCAAATTTCTTAAATTAATTTCGTCTTTGAGAACAGTACAACGGCGCATGTGACAAGATACGTATTATTGTATAATAAATTTTGGAAGCAGTATTCCACTTGTATTGTCAAGGTATGCTACATGTTTTATAATGTATCAAATAGACAATTAAAAAATGAAAAAGTAAGCAAACAAAATAACAAATCCAGTAGGCAATAAAATATTGATTTTGTAATTAACTGTAACAAAATTAGCTATACTTATGTTGTGCTAAGCTAATTATTTCTGGTTGTTTATACTGAACATTTTCCTCTATTGAAGAGGATGATCACAATCTATTAATATTTTAACTTTATAATCGGTCCGATATAATATGTTGTTGTAAGTTCGTCTTAATTATTCGTGACAATTCTGTATTATCTATTACTTACACACTTTAACATTTAATTAATATATTCAAATTCACAGTGACACTGAAAATCAACAAAATAAATAAAACAGACATAAAATCTTTTGTGCATAAACTTTGATCATAACATTAAAGTTAGTATTGTTGTAAAATAAATTAATGTATACATATAGTCCCCTAAGTTCTATACGAAAGTTATATATATATAAATGGGTTAGACAAATACATTATTCACTGTTTATAATGTACCATACATTACATTTTATGTAATAAAGTGTTGTTTCATTTCAGCAAAGAAAGTTACTTGCTATTTTATTTCTATAGAAATGCTTATTCCATTATACGATGCCAGGCGGTTCAAGTAAAAAAAATAATAATCACAATATTCAATAACATTTCATAGTCTAATTACACCCTAAATAACGTAGGGATAGAAACCAATGGCACTCGGTACTCGCCGACTGTGTTAGTCAGCGAGTAACGAGTGCCATTGGTGATCTGGCCTGAAGGTAGATAGATACACCGTGGTCTTTAGAGACTGAATAATTATTTTGTAGGAATTTCATTTGCCTACATAATAAATTTAAAACATTTGAAATATTTTTCTATAACTATGTACGATAATTTTATGATATTACTAATGTTTTCGTCTTTAGCAACAATTGCTTAGACTTTATCCAGATGCCTTATTCAGTGGGTAGGACGCATAGGCACCGACTGTGAGGCGAGACGCTGTTGTGAATGAGTAACACTCACTCTGAAGAAAGCTTTCCAATGAAGTTCATTAAATTTCCATGCATATTTATAAAAAAAAATTACCTTAAATGGACTTTCGTTAGAATTCATGGGACTTATGTACAACTAAATCCTATAAAAATTACACAAAATATGTTATACTAAAACCACTTAACAAAGAAAATAGTATAGAACAGAATGTAAACTTGCATTTATCTTAAATGATATGCCACTAATTTATTTGATATTATTTTAATACATCTAAATAACTTAATAAATGATCAAATATCAGGTCAGACATCGGAGGGAGATAGAATATAATACAATTTCTAGAATGAACATAACAAAATGTAGAGGCAGATTAAATTCACATGTGAGCATATTCATTAATACTAATATTAAAACATCATTTTATATAATATACCTATTAGATAATTTAGAATACCATTAATAAAATAAATAATAATTATCAAACTTATAGAGATAATAAACCACAGAGAGATATAGAGAGACTGCAAGAGAGATAGACAATAAATATCTATATTATTACAATTTTAATTATTATACAATGGGACAAACATCTTAGAAAACTACATTATAATAAGCATGGCAATTATAGAAAACATTTGATCACTCTAATGACTTGTAAAATACTTAGGTTTCTACTATCGGGAGTTTTGAAATCTTATCATAGTTTAATTTGTGCCTTTATAGTTGCAGCGACAAGTAAAACATTGCCATATCAGTAATCAGCAAATCAAGCTTGAAAAATAATATTTAACTACTGGAAGGATGGTATTGATAATTGACTAAACACTTTTAATATTTAAAGTTAAGTACCTATCGGATCGGAAGCCGCACTCATGAAACAAACAAATCTATTAGGGATATGACATTCAGTATTAAAATTTGATTATTTAATTATTAAACAAATTCAAATTACACAAATCAAAACACAATTAACACATACATTAAAAATCTAATTTATATCGAATAACAAAAGAGAAAAAATATCATTTGTGAAAAGAAATACGATTACTAATTAATCGATTTTTTATATAGAATAGAAAAATCGATTATTGTAAAAGTAACCATTTTCAATACTTCTTCATTTCCTTACGCATATAAGAATAAAAAAGCTTAGAAACCTTTAAAAGAAATATACTAAGACTTCTAATAAATCAATGATTTCGTTATGCATTTTGTAAAAAATATAGAATGGTTCAGATCCAATTTGTGCTAATTAGTAATGTTTTACGCGTTACTAGACTCCAGTTCTACTCCGCTGACTGTGGTGCTTAAATTGCCATTGACTAATATGTCCTGCAGAGGTTGTCCCAACACGCTGGATAACGAGTCGCTTAGTTTGTAGTAATTGGTTTCGAGTGCCTCGTGATACGATACTTGATCCGAACTGATGAGTTTTGCGTTCAGTTGGAGTGCTGAGTGACATATCGTTAGGAACTCCCTAGAAAAAAATATTTACATTACAATCTAATATTATATTAGAACATTAATTAGGATTGGTTGCAAAGGACTAAACACAGGCGCTGAGTATTTTGTGTTGTTGTACATTTATAGGTGGGATGCCTGTTACACGCGTCTTCGGCTTCTTTTTTTGATACTGAAGTAAGCATATGCCATCCTCGTTCACAAAATGCTAACAATCTTTTTGGTTTTTGAAATAGTCTCCGAATAATAATTTTTCATACGTTATATGTGTCGTGCACGGATAGCGATCAGTTACAATTATAACAATGACGTCGTTGGCCTAGCCGCTATACTATACACTGTCTTATTAACGATGGTAGCGGGTTCCATTCCTGGCTCGGTGCAAAATTTTATTCAAAAATTTGTATGCATAAGTATGATTGTTTGTGTTGGTCCGAGTATTTTCATTTATTTACAAAAAATATATTTAAGTATTTATATCAGTTGTCTAGTACCTATAACACAACCTCTGCTTAGCCTGATAGGGCTTACGTGTCGCGAGGTAGATTTTAGGGTTATTATTATTACTAATTACAAGATCAGTAAAAAGGTTTACTTACTTGAATGTAGTTTTTAATTTCTCGACTGATTCGTCCGGATACATCGGTGCTAGCGTTGGATCCAAAAACGCATTAGCATATGCGAGAGGACCGGCGTTGACTTGCACGCATACACTGCCTTGCAGCCTGTATATCAACAGTTATATTATTTTTAGTTGATGATTTTGAAGAGACGTTGTGATCTTATGGCACCTGACATGTATAGTATCTTGACCCACATAATTATCAGACAACATTTATGACATAATCTTAAGATGATAGAAATTTCTTAATACAACTAGTGTGAGGTACATAAATAATGGCAACTTCACCGTTTATCATGAGGTCTCGTAAATTTTAAAAAAATAAGCTTTATTTGATAGAGAAAACATGAAATTTATTTATCTTGGTTTGAAATTCGCGCTAAAACACTATGTCACGTGACATTTCCGAGCTATGACGTCATATTTCAATAAACGAAACAAGACTAATACGGCGCTCTAACTGTTTTGAGTGATAAGTATACAGATTTTATTGGAATTGTGAAAGTGACAAGCTACAAAACGTATGCGGTGCTTATGTGTAAATGTTCCAACTGATTGTTTCCGTTCCTAAATGCCCAAAACGTCGAAAGCAATGGTTACAATTGGCACGCCGAGAGAGAGAGAGAGAGGGAGAGCCAAGTCAGACCTTAGGCTACAGTATATTATCCTAAGTTATAAGAAGAAATTATATTTTATATTGTTATAAATACATTTCAGGGCAGACCATTGAACTTGGCACCCATTTAGATCTCACTTCTTTTGTCGTTGAAGTTAACAATCAAGGCATATATCACAATATTGAACTCGGCTATCATTTCACATTTATGTTTTTGATGGGTTATGATTACAGTACACCGTTAAACCCTAATGTTGGGCGATTAATCGGTCAGTCTAATAAAGAAATACTTGTACAGATAGTACAGTAGGACCGTTCTTTTTATACAGAAATAAGTATATATGCCTTTGATACAATATATCTTCTCGTGAACAGTGACTACTACGGCGAACCCATCAAGAAATATTTTATAATAGTTCTTTTATATAAAAAATAAATTATAAATTAATTTAATTCTAATGACCTAATGAATGAATTTAATTCTAGTCACCAAATCACATTTAAATATTTAATTGATATAAACCAATACACGGTTAATTGCGCCGATATAAGAGATTAGTAATGTTAAGTACCTTAACTGCAGTTTCTTGATATCCGGTGACTTTGCGTTGACAATCTCTGCCAGTTCAACCACCTGGCTCTCCATCTCTGCTACGGCGACCTCTATCGGACTTTTCTCTTCAACTTGCGTATCAATTACAGATATTCGGCGCTTCACATACGGGAACCAATTTTCAGCTGCAACATATGGAAATTCGTGAAAATAAGGCTAAGCAAAAATTAACATGCGCATTGTTGAATGTAATGTTACGCTGAACAATGCTCTCATCATAATGAAATTATTCAAATATATTAATAATATATAACAAAAAGATATTTCGTATTTTTATACCAGAACTTAATTTGATTGTAGTCTACTTTTCATAACTTGTTTATTCACATAAGTATGCTTTATCTTTGAAACGAACGATCGAAAAACGATCTTCAATAATTTGAAATAAAATTAGCATTTTGATAATTATTTTAAATTTTCTAATTAGTGTATTCGTATACATTTGTTTAATTCCGCTACCCGTAGCAATGTGAGACCACAAATATTCAGTGCGAAAACCTCAACACCACTACCGGAAGCGACCTTCCCCTTTAGTGATAAAATTCCGAGAATTTATTGGATCTACACCTATACTGCGACACATGTTTCGCCTCTAAACGGCAATGAAGAGAGTTTGAATATAGTTTGGAAGCCTAGTGTTGATTAGAAGTTAATTCTACGGGATTCACTAATCGTCCGATCATAATGCTTCCAGTTGCCGTCAGGTTTCCGTGTTTGGTTGGTGTCAGGTTCACTCAATGTTTGTGCCGTCAAACATACCAATTGTAGCGGAATTAAATAAATATATTACATAACGAAATGGACTATCGTGAAATAACAACAAATTTGAGAAAAAATATTTAAATTCTCTACTATAACATAAATAATAGTTATTATTGATATACTTTCTGTACTAATTTAAATATTATATACTGCTACTTTACCTGTGAGGTGCGTGAGCCTCAATCTCTGATGATGAACTGGTCCCCGGGCGGCTCCATCACTGGTGAAGGGCGTTTCAAACACGAATCTACGAACATTGTGTACGCGTTCAAATAATCCCTCGCCACTGGAACTTGTGGCTGTCACGCCTTCAGGCGCTGGTCGTACCCATGTTACTTGAATATACGCTAGTTTGCTATCCAGGTCGTCACGGTTTACCTGCAAATTTGTTTTAGTTTAGTCTCCAATAATAGTAGCTTAACTGCATGTTTGTTCATTCAACATTGTAGCTCTCACAGAATAAAAATCACTAACGTACTAAACTAACTAATATATATAGAAATAAAAAATATATATAATTACAATAATAATACAGTAGTAACAATAAACAGCCTTATTGCTAAATAGTGATTTCTTTCAGAAATTGCTTGTTTTATTAAGTGGTAATGTTAAATTAATATTGAGTTCCTTAAATACACAGATTGGTGAATAAAATAAAATAGATCTAACATGATGCTTTATATGATGACGATATTACTATATCATCATCATATAGACAGACACAATGTCAAAGTAGAAAGATGTAGTTGTACCTAGAAGGAGATTTAAATTGATCTAACATGCTAGCAGATTGCACGTGGTTTGACCACTTGCAATTCGCTTAGGAAGGAAACTTAAGAACTTGTGGAGATTTAAATTGATCTAACATGCTAGCAGATTGCACGTGGTTTGACCACTTGCAATTCGCTTAGGAAGGAAACTTAAGAACTTGTGTAAGTGTGAGAGCAGTTAAAAAAAAACAAGAAATTTGTAAGGTATCTGAGAGGTAAGTGAGAAGTCACTTGTCGGAATTTGTTTTACTTGCTCTTCGCGGATAGTCCGTAAGGAACTGAGTTTAAATTTACCTTACTATAAAATAGTATATGGTGATTATATAGGACTGATATTTTGTTACCTTTAAAAATTATCGAAGTCTATAATGATGCAAGATATCTAGGATACGAGATACATTCGTATGTATGATTTAAAAATAAGTTATTAGAAATATTAGCGGTAAAAATAATATAAATTTCTCAAGATACATGAATAATTTAATATTAATTTTGTCATCATAAATCGGCTTTTCCGTTGGAATAGACAGAGCCGTCAGTGTACAGACAAGACGTCAGTACTCTAATTCGTAAATTAATAACCAATAATAGTTACGACAGAGTGGTAACGACTCACGCCACCAGGCAGCATTGCATCAATATGTTAAATAAATTGATGGTTAGGTCAATTTAGAAGACGAACTTCTAAAACAGCTGTCTATTGTGAATTATTAAATGTTTAGATTTATTGGCTCCGTAACCATATGTATGTATTCGTGTAATCGTGTACACAAAGAATTCAGCAATAAAAAAGTTCGTGAGAAATATATAAATTATATGCATATATTTTTCACAAATATAAATTATGATATATATTGATTACCGTGTTCCTTTTTTCTTTAATGTAGTACCACAATCAATATACCTTCTGGACTGTCACCTCGGACGGGAGAGATAGAGGCATCGTCAACTTTCAACATCGTGATAGTAACATTTGATATGCTATTTCGATAGGTACATTTCTATCCAGGGAGATATCGAGCCTAACACTGTGTCTCAGATTAATTTAATCCTGACATTATCCTCGTTAGAGTCAGGCAGAAATTTAAATTGTGCTCAGTTTTTTATTGTCCAAATTTATCCTTACGCATCTAAGTAGTGGTATTGACTAGGTAAATGACTAGCTCAACAAAAATGCAGTAAAATATATAAGCCACTAATTAGACTATTTTTCTTTTGACAGGAATGAAATAGCATATGCTCACTCACTCTGTTATTCCTAATTGAATTTAAAAATGAATCTGCATTTTTGTAAACATGTATAAGCTCATTTGAAAAGAATTCTTTGTCAGTTCTTAGCTCGAATGCACTACGAAATAAAGGTAGATTAGATATATTATAGGAGTCTGTCATAGATCTACAAGTATAGAGATTTTTTTATTTTGTGATCACTCACCGGCGCTGAATCCATAATCATCTTCACGAACCCCACACCGAACTTCTGTTCATAGAAGTTTTGTAGTTTCTCAGATATTTCACTTAGTGACGTCAGCTTGGGTTCCTTATAGATAAATTCCACGCCTTCTTCATCTTCTCCAAAATGTGCTTTCCCAAAAAACGCAACTCTATAGAATCTACCGAGGAGTCGTTTCCCAGAATGTGTAACTTCGATAACTTTGGCATATGCTTTCGTCAGATGTTGATAGCATCCTAATAATGCTTGGTAGTCCTTCTTCCGTTCGTAGATAGGAATAATGAGCCGATAGAGAGGACCAAGAAGTTCATAGCGCTCTGCTTTATCCACATACTCTGTACATATCATTAGTTGATCTAGAAGAGCTTGCTCGTTGTAGTGGACATCCACCATACCTGACACAAAATATACTTTTATAAACAACATGCAAATTTGATTAGATTAATGATGGATTGAAATATTACTATTCAACATTTTTTATTATTATTCATTTTGAAACACCATTATTTAGTTTTTTTTTTATATCAGGACAATGCACACAATGCCATTTAGTCCCAAATAAGGTAAAGCTTATGTTAAACAACTGATACAAATACATAGATATAAATTTTTTTCATAAATACATACATATTACAAATAGGAAACACCCAGACCGATACAAACAATCATACTTATGAATATAAATGTCTGTGCCATGCGAGGAATAGAACACGCGATCATCGGAAGTAAGGCTGTGTGCTAAACCACTAGACCACCGCTAGGCCGAATTTTCCAGATAATCAGAGTCATGAAATCCATACTTGAAATATATATACTTTTTTTGTGTTATTGAAATGGCAAACAAATGGTGATGACCATGACATCATTAGCATCCTGATCGTATTTGGTAACCGTTACGTATCAGCATCACGGACATCACGTCATAAATGTTAAAGATTATCGGTTTGTCTATCTGTTTGTTACCTCAACAACTTAACTTTTAAACGTCTAAACATTATTAATGAGACGTAAAGAGCGATTGTATCACAAGAATAGTGACGAGTACAGGCTATCTTTTATCTAAAAAAAAAGAAGACGAAATCACGGGAGTAGCTGGTTCTATAATGTATCAATATTTTGGTTACCTATTAAATAAGTTTGCATGTAGGTTCGTAACTTATATTACACATATATAATTTAATTCATAAATATCAGTAATTTGAGACAGAGAATAGGCTGCCTGAAGAGCAACTTATTACTCTTTTAAATACTGTATGTTCATGAAAAGTAGTCCTTATTGAAATTATAGAATTAATTATACCTTACTAGGTAAAAGTAAATAACATACACCTTTATCTTTATAGCAGATAAAAGTATTATTACTTGGCCATGATATTTACGAGTACATACTATAATAATTAAATAAATTTATGTATCACATGCCATACACAATATAGACTAATATATAATATGCTAGTGGACTACACCCTTGCCTGGGCGTTTAAAACATTTCAATGTGGAATGATGTGCATTTCAAACAGTGAAAGTATTTTTAAATCAGTTATATTTTTTTTTGTATTTATCCAATACAAACATACAAATAATCAAATCTTTCTTCTTTATACTATTAGTATAGATAAACGTAATACATAAACGTGTAGTCTTTAAGATTATACTGCGCGTACGACCCGCGGACTGATTCAGACCCTCCTGTATGATTATTCTATGTATCTCTATATAAATGAAACTGAGGCTCTGCAGTCGAAATCAGTTCGCGAACGCGCGTACCGTCGAATACAGACGGCTGTTGAGTGTGAGTTTTAGAAAAAAAAAGTAAAAAATGCGAAGGTTAATTGTTTCATTAGTAATAGTCGTAGCAACATGGGGCGAAGATGCCACTTTGGGGCGGGTCGTGGAACCTAGCAACAGCCTGGACCGCAATGACGGCTTGGGTGATACCGAATTGATACTAGCTTTTGTGGTACGTTTCTGTTACGATCAATTTCGCTATTGAGGCGGCAATCACGCCCGACACTCGTGATCTGCTTCCTGATGAATTGCGGATCGACCATTTAACAAGGATCGCAGGTCAATCATGCGTAAAGTGTACCTTTATGTTTGAAATGTGATCATTTATCAGTCACACATTGTGACGATTTTCATCATTATATCAAAGAATGAATTGGATTTGCTTTTGATTAAAATGTAAAAGTTTTATTAAAATGAGGTACTTACTGACTAAGTAGTAGTCTATTCCCTAAATGATTGCACAGATAAACCTTACTGATTAATTATTCACATAGACAAATAAAAATTATGTTAATAGATTTATTAACATAATTTTTATATTTGAAGAAAGTGAGACTGATATTTTTCATCTCCGCAGATAGATATTTTCCAAAAGTATATCCAGCAGAGTCAAGTAAAAACATAAATGGCAAATTTATACGGCATTTGAATAAATATATTTTTAACACTTGAACTTGATCTTATATATTCACTATACATATTATAATATCAATTAACAGGTATTCCGTCATGGCGATCGAACACCCGATTTAGAAGAAATGGCACTTTATTCACACGGCGATAACTACAAGGATGTATTCTTCCCTTATGGAATGAAAGCCCTGACGAATGTGAGTTACTACAATAGCAGAGCAAAATAGTGAAAACAACGAATTCGTAGTTATGATTGTCAGGTACATAATGAACTTAGTTACGGTCTGGAACATGAAGGTATAAATCTGATTGCAATTTCAATTGCTACATAATGACCATCACGATTTAAATTTAGAAATTTACCGATAATTTCAATAAGGGCAGTATTTTTTACGATTACTATTTTTAGAAAAATAACATATACTGTTTCTTATTCAAGAACTTCTACTAACTTTCATGTTTCATAATACGAAAGGTTCTAGAGTTAATGAATCATACCAAACTATGGAATTACAACTTATTTTGTTGGTATTTGTGAAACTGCTTTTGATATGGAAGATTGACCACTACTAGCTGAGATTTTAAAACTTCCCCTATTAGCTATGGGTCTCGGACTTATGTTAAATTCAAATCTACGTTAATGTGGCGATACGTGTCCCGCTTCTAGAAGAGAACGCCAAATGGTCTTAATATGTTACATACATATTAAGACCATTTGGCGTTTAGCAGTTTAACTGATTAGCAGTGTTCATTCATTTGACACATTTTGAAAATATAGAGAGCGTTCTGGAGTTTCCACTCTCAGTCTCATTACTCACACGTGATGTTAATGGTAATAAATCAGGCACCTAATTTAAATTTAGTAGATATTGCATAATTTATCAAACAATTAAAAAGTAATTTAGTCACATTTGTTCTATAATTGTTAAGAATATGGAAATGCGTGTATACGCATTTCCATATTCTTATCTGTATAGATATCTTAGTGATTTTTCTCATTAATACTTTATAAATTATTTCTAATAGAAAGGCAAACAACGCGGCTATCTTATAGGGGAATATCTACGAAGACGTTACGATGGACTAATTTCACGGATTTACCTTCCTGATGAAATAATGATTCGGACTACAGAGTACGCTCGTACAAAGATGACTGCGCTGACCGCACTGACAGCAATGTATCCGCCTTTACCTGCGCAGCGATGGAATCCCGCGTTGGATTGGCAACCAATACCATATGACACTCTGGGCGCATCGGTAGACGATGTAAGTTCAATGTAAAAACGCATAAGGGGTGTATTTATTAATAGACAACAAATTACTTTAGCACAATAACTTTGCCATTTCTATACACTAAAGATGATTTTCATATTTTAAGGAAGGCGGATAATGATATTAGTACAACAATTTTGTTTCTCTTATATAATCGTAGAGCATCCTCCTTTTATAATAAAGATAAATAGCCTTAACGAAAAATAAAAAAAAAGTTAATGATAAATATATTTTTATATAAATCTTTAATTAATTTGCAGTTGTTATATTGGTATTACTGTCCACGTTATTTATGGCTAAGAAATCAAGTTTATAATTTTCCTGAAGTGAAGAAATGGCTCAAACCTTATCAGAAGCTATTCACCTACTTGACAGAAAATGCAGGAAGAAACATAACTACGCCAGAGGATGTGTTCTTTATAGATAATCTATTTCAAGCCTTGGTATGGGTTATTGCTAGTTTTTTTAAAGTTAAGCTATATATATATGTGCTGTTTTTTGTATGTTGGATATATTTATAAATGATAATTATTTACTGAACATATAAAATTAATGTTTGTACGAATTTTTAGGAAAATGTTGGCATAAAAACTCCAAAATGGGCGCAAGATGTGATGCCAGAAATAAAAGAAATGACTAAAATTGAATATGCTATAGAATTTTATAATACCGAATTGACCAAGTTAGCTACTGGTAATATATATTAAGATTATTTACTAGCTATTTCTCGTGGCATTGACCGTGCAGAACCAGTTATTATCTTCGATTTATGGCTTTGCAGGAGACGGTTTAGTTCACACAAACGCTTACATAGGAATATATGGACACTTTTAATTTTTAATAATTTAATTTATTCATCATTTCGAGTTGACTTTGACGTGTTTTGAAAAGCAGCCCAACCGTGTTTTATTCGACTGCTGACCTCGGTCTTATCCCATCTGATAAGCTGTTCTATGTATTCAATTATAACTTGAACTTACATGTTCGAGATGAAATTCATATTGTTTAGATTTTGTTTTATTATACAGTAGCAGCTGGAAAATGATCTTTATATTTTAGTAGTATTACTTAAAAGATAGTAGAGCTTTTTTTCGTCTATGCACACATAATGTACATAGAAAATAGTCAGAAAAATAGAATCAATTTCATACTTATGAATAAAAATGTTCACATCGTTGGACAAATCAACCTAAAACCCTCAGGTGACATGTTAAACTGAGGTCGTAAAATAAATATTATTAACTATCATGCAGGGGTCCTAATGGCTGATATATTGAATGCGACGAATGCTGCTATTGAAGGTAACATGGAACAATATAAGTTACGTCTGTACTCCGGCCACGAAAATAATGTTGCGGCGATAATGGCTGCAGTCAACGTGTTCACGCCCCATCAACCAAATTACGGTGCAACCTTCTCTTTAGAATTGAGAAAACACCGTTCAACGGGACAATATGGGATTGCGGTAAACCTTTTAAATTCATTTTCATTTCCCCTTTACCAACTACTTCAGTTTGTTTGTTAGATTAATTGGAAATAATGGAGATATGTTAATTTAAAGATCGTGTAATTCAGGGTTTTTAATATACATATTATTTATGACATGTAAATTACATTACAGAGACATGTTTAATCGCCTGATATTTCTTTTGTAAAAATTGCAGTTGTTTCTACAGATGTTATTAATATTTTAAACTAACTAACTTTAAAACTTTATTATGTGTGTTATTATACCGGAGGACTAAGATATCACGCATCTTGCCCTGTAATTTCAATGCCTTATCTCACCATTCAACCGAAATACATTTTAAAAAGTATGGTGTTTGGCGACCAAAACAGCTGAGTCTGCGGTACCTACGCAGATGACTTTTACAAAGTTTATCTCTGGACATGTCTGAATATTTGTTACTCTTTCACGCAACAACAACGGGGCGGATTCAAATGAAATTTTATACACGGATAGATCATAATTTAAGTACATACATAAGATACTTTTCAATAGAATTTTTGCGAGCAACAGTGATAAAATAAGCTCTAGAATGAGTTCGTTTTTCAAAAATATTGATACTAGAATAAGCTTATTTATGCTTTGTTTCTTTCTTTATATATATATAAAGAAAGAAACAAAACCACTCAGTGCTATTTTAATCAACATATATATAAATAATACACTGATACTGGTATTTCAATATTATTGGTACGAAATCGCGGGCTCAGCCAATTTACACAATAAGTCACAAATATCCCACATACAATGGTCCTGACTGAAATAAACAACTTATAATATTGAATTAATATTTTATTTTTCTAGGCTGTATACGCTAAAGATGCTGGTGGTCCGGAAGCTGTACTACCCATAGCTGGTTGCGGTGGTTCAACATTGTGTGATTATGAGACTTTCGTCAACCTCACATCAGGTGTTGTGTGGAATTTTAAAGAATATGAAGCACAGTGTGTCGTACTAGGGCAGTAAAACTAGTCATATAACGAAATAATCCAACATTTTTATTAATATGATTATTTCATAGAAGATAGTGAGTGACGAATCAAGTGGCTGTGACATTAGTTGAAATTGTTTGATTGCTATTTAGTTATGGAATTACACTATTAAAATTATAGCGGTTAATTGTTTCTGTTTTTCCCACTTCTGTGTAAAGCGATATGATAATCATTAACTCAGGTTCTTTTATTAAATATATGGTTTTACCTATCAATAAGCGGTTTTAAGGTAACAATTTATAAGCAAATAAATAAAACTTTTAACTCATGTGATTAAAATTTTATGATCAAGAGTCATATGTTCAATTCTAGCATTGTTACAAGAAAATTAAATTTACTGATGTTGTAAAACTGAGAAAAGAGAAACATGTAAAAAGATAAAAAAAAACTAATTATCAAAATCAGTCAAATTTTGGTGAGGATATCATAATACTATAACAATAAGTATGTGTGACGATGACGACGAGAATGACGACTTAGTATAACTATATAAGTAGTACCAATACCAAAATCCAAGAGAAATCGTAATAAAAAAAATCACTGTCTATATAGACATTCTTGTAATATATATTTTTTAGGAATATTTTTGTTTTATATGCAAGCACTTAAAAGAGAATGTAATTATCTTATACCTATACTTCAAACGTAGCAAATATTTGTTGAATGTTAAATAGGATTATCATAGTGTGATTGCTATGGCAATATATGAATTGTGTTACACTTACTATTCTCTTACATTTTATGACGAAAATAGTTACATTTTGATAAGATATAATATTAGACAAGGCGCTTCATTAACCATAACCGATCCTCAAGATTACATCGTGATCAGGACGTAGCAGAATATAGTTTTTTAATAAATATAAAAAATGGTGTACTCAGTTAGCATTTGTATTCAGTAAGTTATATAATACTTTCTAACGTTACCTCTTTCTAACTAGTAATTTAAAAATCAGCACAAAGGTACAGATATTTTTTTGTTTTTTTACAACATACTACATATACTATAATTGTTACCATTATATATAACAAAAACAGTAGCTCTAAATCAAGTTGCAAGAGTCATGCTTCTACATAAATACACCTAGAAGATACCTTCGAGCTGATATATACTGCAAAATGTTGTCTGCCTGGATACCTCAGTTTTACATTTATTTGAGCCGTCAAACACTTTGATTTATAAATTGTATTTCGGTTTAAGGCAGTAAAATTACAGGATATATACATAAGCTCAGTAGCGTAGCGTAAGGGGTGCAGAGGTAGCTATATCCCGTGGCGGCATGTATGGTATGAAACGAGACTGTCCTTTTTTAATAATTGTTTAAAACTAATGTCTATAATTAAGTAAAAAATAGTAATATTCAAATCTGGTTAAGATCAGAATTTTATAATATTTTATATAGAATTAAAATAGAGCGTCAAATATGTGGTAGGTCCGAGGTTGAGAAAACTACGTTACGCCAATGTATAAACTGCTGAAAGTGGTAACGGTCCTCTATGGACTTTTCTAATATTATGTTAAAGAAGGTACTATCTGTTCCGTTTTTACGGTTTATGATTATAGTTTCGTTCACTTTACTGCCATAGACCAAACCAAATCGCTGCATGAATTACTAAAAGGAAACCGAGAATTCCAATGGAGCATTGTTTTTATGGAGATGAGAGTCCATAAAAGATAAGATCTTTTTTACTCTTAAGTTTTTGGTAAGATAACTAATTGTTATATATATATTTATGTACCTTTCGATATTCATTCATATCAATGAATACAGTTCCATTTTGATTACCCACTACACATCATTTACAAAATGAGTGAATGCCGACAATGCCAGAACTTCCCCATTGAGACTGACATCGCAAGGGCGTTACACACGAGATGAACTACCCATATAAATAGCATCGAATGATGCGGGTGCGCATATATTGGGTACCTCTATCAATTCAGCAAACTTTAGACGTGCTAGTTCTATATAAAATGTTCGTTGCCATTTGGGAATAGGAATGGAAATCGCGTGCATCTATATAGTTGACACGCTCTCATATCGTACCACAATCGATTGGATGAAGTCAGTCATCTGAGTCAGGTCACAGCGACCGTGAAATCGTCAAGCGTCCCGTATGGACCTCAGTAGGACCTCGCTTCGCGCGCTGTGCACTTCCTGCCCGACATTATAGTATATACCTACAAAAGTGGGTACGGTGGTGGCATTGTTTGTTAGTGCGTACAAATGAGAAGTACCTAAATTGTAATAAATATGCAATAAAACAACCGTCCTGAAGACGAATTGGGATAGGATCAATATGTAGAGCTGCCGACACGAAGAAGGAAAATGTGAGTGATGTTAACAATATTAGAGGTATATTGTACATCTATTTATTTACAAGGTCTTTTAAATTCGTATTAGCGACACTACGCCAAATAATAAATCTTTCTTCGGTAACTGAGACATCTTTTTTAGTAATTAGGTATCCACACGTGGCTTAAAATAGATGGTTATAAATCATAAAATTAATATTTTATTTTTCATTGAAATTATACCTTCACTCGAGAAAGGGTTGCCAGGTAAATTTTGAAGTATATTAAAGTTTCAGTGGTAACATATTTATTATTACAGCCAGGCTGTCTTATAAAATGGAATGAAATTTTTAACATACTGAGACATAGCTGACAAAATCAGTCTAGTGCTACCCCTGTATTTGTACTATATTTTCTGATCATAAGATCTACGTATATCTAAATTGTAAATATTATATTCTATTTTTGAAATATGAAGTAGTATATTTTAATTTAACCCAAATGATTGTGAGGATTATCATATATCATAAAATATTATCTGTATCATAAAATCACTGTATCGATGTGCTATATTAGGCTAACTGCAAGTACTTTTAAAAAGAGTAAACAGATCTGTCTAGATAGTATAGTACTGCACAAACTCATGTTTTGAATCAGATAACATTCGTAGCCATTACTAGTAGTTATGGTTACTTATTTCTGAAGATCGTGCTCAGTGCCGTACCTTGGGAGAGGTATCTGTCCAACAGTGGACTGTAGTATGGTGATGATGATAGTAATATTAAGGTAACTAAGTAAGGATGCATGCGTGTGCGCAGGAAAGAGGGCGGTCGCGAGGAGGAGTCGACCAACGCGACGGAAGCGGCACCGGGCCCGGGCGTGCGCACCGAACACACCTGTTGCTGCCTCGGCGTGTTAGTGGGCGTCTCGCTCATTGCCGGTTTGCATCCGTTATATTATCTTCATTAACATGTCTGATATCACTGTTTATTTTTTTCGGACTACTCTAATACTGTTGGCCGCAACATCAGCTGCAATGCTGTTGGACGATAGGTGGCGAGTGCAGATGGCATTCCAAACCCGTGGTAGTACTTATGAAGAAGCTGAAGACCAACACCCGCCTGACTGACTGAGTTCGGAGGCATGATATCTTAGTAAACCCACAAATAGTGCTCTGGACATCACATGTTTACGCGATGTCCATGTTGCAGTCATTGATATAGGCGAAGGTTACCATTTACCATCAGGTTTTTTATCATTCCAGTTACATAAAAAAATACAAAAAAGTTCTAAATAAATAAGCCTATCAGAGCTTCTGTATTGCTATTCCCATGAAGCTGCAAAACCTGCATTATAACGTAATAGTCAAATTCTCAATAGTGCCAATGTGGGAGAGATTCTGCTTCTATGCCACACCAATTCAATTAAAAATTCGCTGATGCCGTTGTTTACACAGTAGAGTAACGCAATGTAATATACAGAGTGAAGTCAAGTGAATGTCAATTATAATGGACAGAACGAGAGTTAATAGATGCTGAAACTAATGGAGTTGAAACACGTGTTCCATTATGCATTAGTTTAGGATAGTTTTTATGAACGATGAAAGTTGGCTATCCTGGCTAATTGACTTAGAAACTCCGAGCTGGACCTCAAAAAACAACCCTGTTTTGAGGTCCCTCTTGGGTGTCGTCCTGACAGTATTAAATAACTAACAACTGGTACATTTATTACCATAATGATTTTCATTATTATAACATTCATTTGTTTTTATTATACAGCCCTCGTAGCAGTGATACTGATGAAGGATAGCACAATCGAAGTTACAGTGTTACGACAAGTACACGTGGTAAGTTCTATAGTCTGTACATTAGGAATATAATATATATAATATATTTATATAATTAATTATTCTCTCGTCTCATCTGCGAAGGAGCCAATTATTGAACTCGGATACTATAGCCCCATCCGTGAAAGTCCCGTAATTGGTCTCACAGATGAAGAGTTTATGTCATTTTGCCAGCTAACAGTTTAGAGATTAAAATTTACCAGAGGTAGACTGTAAAAGCCGTTCGTCGTTTTTTCCCACAGTCTTACCTATTTAAGCCAAGTAGCTTAATTCGTAAGCAGCGTTTCTATTGTATGGTGCGATTAAGCAGTGAAATTATTACATAATAAGAGGCTAAACATCTTAGTCCTGTGGAATAGTAACGCATGAGTGGTATCTTGTTTATGTATACAGATGAAACAACTTGTAACCACTATTAGTGTATTGCTACTAAATATAATAACTACAATAAAATAATAATTTTACTGACATTAGATTTAAAATAAATTACTAACAAATGGGCCACTGATGCCATAATAAACATATTTATCATTATCATATAAACCGTCAGGTGAGCCATCAGCTTGTTTGCCATTCCAATTACTAAAAGAGATTATAAAAATATATTCGAAAATTGTAAAGATAATGTCAGTCGTTTTGTTTTTATTCTCATAGTTAATGTCCCATGGAGAACGCACACCTAGCGAGCTCGAGCTAGCCATGCTTGGAGCACCTCCACCTGAACATGTTTTCGCTCCCTATGGTGCTGGAGCTATGACAAACGTAAGGCCCATTTAAATATATATAATAATATTTTCTAATTATTATATTACGGCGAAAAGTATATATGTTCTTATTAAATCTCTAGAACTATCAGTTATTTGAATAAACCTTATTGCAATTGTTAGTCCAATTATAGACTATTTTGACAATCTTATGTAATGACCTAACAAAAAGATGAATTCCAATTAAACGCGGAGTGAAAAAATAATACCATGAATGATACAATCTGATGTGGTAGATATCATATTTTATAAATTGAATAGTAGATAAAATCATAGCTAGTATATATGTAGATATAACATATCGATAGGGACATAACCGCGAGTCGCGATAGACTGGTAACAATGATCACAGGGCGCTGCATTGTTAGCTATTTACGGATGCAAGGAAGTCCTTCCCTATTACGTACTGTACCACTCACAGGGTGATTAACGCGTAGTGGTCCTGTCGACCACAGATTACTTAAAAGAAACTCTGATAAAAAAAAATCATATACTACAGGACGTCACAGGTATTGCGATTGCTATGCTATTTTTAAAACTTATAAAAATATCATTACCGCTTTAAAATTGATAATAAGGATGGATACCACAGATAGGTTGCAGTTTACAGATACCTCATTTAATTTACTCTACAAATGATACTACATATTCGACTTCAATAGAATGCTAATACCACATGGATTTTCTCATATATTATACGACAATAGATGTTTTATTGGTTTCTAAATTCTATGAATGTAAAGTCCAAGTAATAAAATTGCATTAGTAATATATACACATCATGGGAATGAGAGCCCTGGTTTTTAACAATAGCCTTTTAGCGTAGTTCCTCGGTTCATCAAATTAAGTTTCCGGTAGCCGTAACAAATCATTCGTTTTGTATTATGAATACCCACAACATGTCAAACAGCGCGTTTGTATATATGTATAGTATGTTCTTGCACATTTTTGTTAGGCGTTAGTGCCTGACATTGAATCATATTCACATATCCAATACTTATTTATTACATACGTACTACCTAACCATAGGTTTCAAGTTTGAACGGCTGAACGGATCTTAATAAACTTTAACATGAATATAGTTTGTATGACGTGCATTGAGGCCATTCATCTCAAAACAGCATACGAAGTCAATTAATTGCTGTGTGTTCATATAAAAAATTGATTATTCAAATAAAAGTAAAAGCCAGAACTTGTTTGCTTGTCATGTATTGATATCATCAATTCCGGTACAAGGATATTAAACTTGGTTTCCGCAACAAATTGCGCGACACTCTAATTTATAGATGTCATTGATAAGGTATATGATTTGGTACAACATTGTACATAGGTGAGTAAAGTTGAGGGATCTTGACAAATGACTTTATATCAAAGTCTACTTCCCGGTCCGCACTCGGGGGGAGATTCCTGAAGGTCGCTAAACGAGGTGCCGTGAGACGCAGATAGCCGCCGTCAGCCGCTAATAATGATTTATTGCCTGTCGCGTCGCGCGTCACCGAACTAATAGAAGTAAATAGAAAAGCATTGTAAGGGGAAACAAAACTTCATGTCGACAACATCTGACCTCTTTAATATTTGTAATAAAACCATTGTCCGTGTTGTATTTTAGTTTTTTATTGGTTACTATGGGCTCAGGTCTATAATATCAATGGAATACAATTACAAATAGCCGTAGCCACTTGACGTGTGACAATTATGAAGTGTGTTGAAATATCTTATTAAGATAGAAGAAATCATGAGACGATAAATAATAAAAAAAATTACAATGTTTTTAATTCCTAAATTATATTTTATAATTATAATCTCTCGAAAACACCTTAACGTCCACGTTAACTAGGCGATCATATGCAAAATCTATTCCTACAGATTTTGCATATGATCTCATAGTTTTAGGGCAGGGATTTAGTACAAACATATGAGGGATCAAGTGCTTTATGTATTTTGAGTGGATTCATTGTCGTGGATTAAATATAAATAAATTATATCAAAGTCTTGATATAATACATATCAGTATTTTTAAATATTACAAGAGTGTTCTCGATCTAGTCCTCAATAAAAGATTCTCAATTCGACTTCGATTCGATAACATTATTGGAACTGAAAATATTGAATTTTGTTGTACGTTAATCTATCACGATTTATAATATTTTTAAATGTATGGAGTGAATATATTCATAGTAAGTACAAACTTTTTTTTAATTTGCAGGAAGGGAAGATGTTGACATTCGAAATGGGCGCATTACTTAGGAAGAGATATAATGATTTTCTAGGACCTTATTACAATCCTGGTAACAATTAAAACACTTTTTGCCGGCAGTAACTATAGAAAAAGCTATTTATACTTGTTATTTTGTATTTTGAAATATGAGAGGAAATTAATTAAAAGTGTACTCAATATTAGGCTGTATAGAAAACCATTTTGGCTAAAAAGTATTAGCCAAAATGTTAAAATTCTAAGTAAAAGTCATCTTATACATTTAATGTGTATTGATATATTTATGTAAAGTCAAGATTTTCTAAATACGTTATTCTGGTATAAGACAACAGATTACATCTATTTTTATCTGTATCCTTTGGTGAATACCCATACATATGTATATGTACCTTCAGGTATATATTTGGTACTAACATGTTATTACCGCTATTTATTTCTTATAACAGGGAATAGTATAGTAATAGCGTCTGACACAGGACTTAGCAAGATGACAGCCTTATTGATATCTGCGGGTCTTTGGCCACCGCCGGCTGAGCAGATTTGGAATGAAACCGTTCTGTGGCAACCAGTGCCTTATACTTATCCACATCCGGATCAGGACTATGTGAGTTTTTTTTAACTTTCTTGTAATTAAATAAGTTACTTAACGAATCAACGAAAACGAAAACTTGTGTAAAACTTATTAATGTTTGTGTATGTATCAGTTGTCTAGTACCCATTGTGTGAATTGTCCAGGATGTTTTATTATTAAATCTATGACTGTACTAATTTAATTCTCAAAAAATATGCCAACACTATTACGCCTAAATGTCTCAATTTGTTTGATAGTAGGTTATTGTTAGACGATCTTTGCTATCTATGCCAACTCAAAATTCTAATTCAGACATTCAACAATCAAATTCTTGCACCTATTATAATCAGTAGATAGCACATAATATATACAAATACAATTTCAATCACAGCTTTTATATGAAGAGAACTGTCCTCGATACAAACAAGAGAAGGAGAGAATACTAAAGGCGTTTACGGAAGAAGGTTTTTTGGTGCCGTATCGGGATTTCTTCCACAAGATAGCTCAGCTGACTGGGACGAACTTTAGTACACCTCAGGAAGCGTACTACCTAAACAACTTATTTCTGATACAGGTAATGTCCGACTTACATAAATGATAATATTTATAAAAACTATGATTTATTTATTATATTTATTATTTCTGGGTCAAGTTGATCACACAGTTCAGTCTATATATACGAAAAAATTGCAAAAATAAATCTTGATTTACTTCACATAAAGTTTGGTTTTTAGGCCTTTTTATAAAATACAAAGTGTCCTCACAGTAAAAAAAAAGTACGTAATATTTCATAATTGGCTAAAGTATTTATAAAAAAATATATTTAAGTATTTCTATTAGTTGTCTATTATATAAGACAAGCTCCGCTTAGCTTGGGACTTGGCTCTGTGTGAATTATCCTGGGTTATTATTATTATTAAACTGGTATACAACTAGCAAAGTAAGCTATTTCGCTAAGAAAGTAAAATTCTCGTACATTTGATAATATCTGCTACATGGCATGTAACACAATATAATAATATACTGTAATTTCTAGATGTTATGGTTATGCAAATTCAAATTAATCATTGACGTCAATCATGTTGTATTTTTCAGGACGATATTAAAGTAGCTAATCCGAAATGGGCAAAACACGTGAAACGAAAACTGATGGACGTGGCTAGACTGGAGTATTCGATGATGTTTCATAACAACCTTTTAAGGAAACTCAGTGGTGGTAAACTTCACATTTTATGTACAGCTTAAATATTGTTAGTTATTTTTTCCTAAAATGAACCAAATAATATACGGTTCATTTTAGGAAAAAATAACTAACAATATTTAAGCTGTACATAAAATTTGGATAAATATACACTTATGTTACGAATGTTGGTAAAACTGTTAAAAATTCGTGTTTAAAATGGGCTAGAAGTCGCATATACATAACATTACATTCGTCTCATAATAATTGCGAAACTTACAAGGTGACGTAATTATTATTACAGCTGTATTATACTGTGACGAAAGGACGGATCCAAAACATGCTTGTTATATATACATTTTTCATTTATGAATGCATTACAAAATAAAGTCACCTGATTGGGCAAGCTAGTAGAATCTGATCCGAGACAGATTTTAGAGCTATATGATATTGATGTAAGATGCTATGTAGGTACATGTACATATTACAAAGAACGACGTTTTCCGTTACATTGGTTAGAAGTAATATCACGACAATCTATGTGATAAAATTCTATTACAAATTTATAAAAAATAGAATAATAAAACTTTATCACATATACTCGTTTTAGATGTAATAATTAATCAATCTGAGAGATCGCAGCATGTTCGTAACCTACCTAGCTCCAAAAAAAAAACAAAGAATCTCTGCATATGCTATATATTAGTATATAGATATAAAACCTTGCAATGCATTTGTCGCAGGAAGTCTACTTCAGCAGATAATAAAAGAAGCCGTAACTAACACTAAGGATGCATCGAGCCCGCGTGTCATAGTGCGTACAGGGACGCCGGTGTCAGTTGCAGCGTTGTTATCTGCATGCGTTGCCCCGCCCCCACGTTTGCCTGATCCTGGCGCCGCATTACTGTTTGAGTTGCACGAAAGGTTACCTTCTCCTCAAGGCAACAAAGATCATACTACATTGACTGATGGACAGCGGTTCGGATTTAAGGTAAATATTTAGAAATTAAAAATGAAATACATACATTCTCGATTAATAGAAGTAAAATTTGGGTCACTTTCAATAACCAAATTGAAGAGTATTTAATTTTGGAAAGTTATTTTACAAATCTAAAATAAAGTTTGAGTGAGCTCAACTAAATTATAAACTGGCAATTTCAGATATATTACTGGGATGATGATTCTGCTGAACCTCGACTGATGGAGGTTCCTGGCTGTAATGCTTTCTGCCCCTTAGAAACATTAGAGGAGCTGACAAAATATATAGTTTCCAATGATTATAAAAAAGACTGTGCACTAATGCCTGCCGTGTAGCTTAGATTGATTTGTAAACGTAGTTTAGTGATGTTTAAACGAATGGATTAAGGCTGTGGTTAATTAAAAGTGAAATATGGAGTGATTGAAATTAAGTGTGTAGTTATAATTCATGTTTGCTAACTTACCCTCGTCAATTTTGAGGCCGGCTTCATCTGGCGGTATGTTTTTAGATAACTCGCCGAATTCGTTGGCACCCCATGACTGCGTGCCTCGTAGTTTTAAATATTCGGCTATCAGTGCCGCTATGTGTAGTTGGCAACACATGGCCTGTAAAAATGTAATAAAAAAATGAATATCGAAATGATTTTATTATTAACCTGTAACCCGCGGCTTTATACGCCTGGAGATTTTATTAAAATAAAAGTAGTCTATGTTACTTCTTATAACATTAACTATTCGTAAGTGTATGCTCATAAGTTTCTCTCAGTCTAGTAGCCGTATCAGATCAGTAAGAACAAACAGACGACAGACAAACAATTTTAATTAATATTTTGATATTGGTAACGTATATATTTTCACATGCATTCAGTAAAGAATTTGTTAATTTAAAATTATAAACAGACACTTCAAAATTTATTTGTATAGATTGATCCTATGCTAGACTGTAAAGTTCATTGGAAGTACCTACCATTAAAAAACAGTTTGTCCATTACATTTCAGTACATTCTCAAGGATAGTATATAAAATAAACGAATTTTTCATCGTTTATATACAAATCACGATTTTATTGCAATCAACAAAAAGTTTAATCTTCCTATAACTATAATGTAACTCCTACAAGCATCAACTCTATCATTAAAGTTAGTTTTGAGTACATCATTATTAATTTTTAAACTAAGGTGTATTAAATTACGAAATTACCTCATCGTGGTCACCCTGCCTCGCGTTGTGGTCGGCGAGGGTCGCGAGCCACGCGTGTCGTAGTCGCGGCGTCGCACGACATGACGCCGCTAATGCGTGCTGCAACTCCGCCAAATGCACGCCACCTTCAAATTTGTTTATGGTAATTATAATAATAATAGTGTGTGTCTGTGCTCCATAAAGCGTAAGAACCAGCAAAAGCTGAGAATATAAGACAATAGTGAAAATAATAATAGATATTGCTACATAATCTTCAATCAACACACACAGAAAAAAAACTAAATATACTGATCTGGCAATAGAACTAAAAATACAATGGCAGGTAAAAACAGTGAAAACTCCCTCAATTATATCGTCTATAGGTGTCAATCAAACATCCTTACATACTAGCCTCAAAATATTATGCAACTCTTAATATACAATGAGGTAATTTTACAATATCCAGGATATCGGAAGCTAGAAGAGATCGGGGAATCCACTGTCGCGCTGTGAGAGTAAGAGACTTGTTCGTTCCTTGTCCAAAAGCGAGCTGGTTGTGTACTACAAAACTAGTATATATATTGAATTACCAGATCCACCCGTTCCTCCGACGCCTGCGAGTCGAGCACGAGCACCCACTACTGTACGTACGCGTCGCATTAACTCCGCTACTTCTCCTGATAAACCTGTACAAAAAGAAATAATTTCAAATTTTATCACTTATTTGTAACAATTGGAATAAATACACCGACGGAAGGCGATTAATCCATACAATATTAGAAAATAATATATGTATATGCGAAATCGCGGAAAAAAAGGGAAAAATTATTTAACTTAAATAGGAAAGTGTGTAAAAATAAATTAGTAATATTACGCAAAATATAATGAAGAAACAGTTCGTTTTATTTCAGCTAACAAAAAAAATACAACTGTTCTTATTTGAACAGCTATTTATTATAATATATTTTCAATAATTACTATTATTTTCTAGTGAGTACAATAGTTTTCTGGTGTAGTACAAAATCCAAAATTTTCTTATTACGATAGAGAGGCAAACATGCTGACAACGCTTAATAAATTGTAATCGCTCTAAAAATTAAATTTTTATCATGATGTAGAAATTAACCTGTTCCTTTCATAGCCTTGTCGCTCGTAGCAAAGCAATTGATCACAGATAGAGATTCTTGGAAACGCTTGCAGTTGAGTGCCGTCGAGTCATCCAGTAATTTTGAAACAGCTATAATAACCTGTACACACATAATAATTCAGATGAGTCCAGACGCTTCAGTTAATAGTTATATACAAAATGTATAAAACAGCATAGTAGCTAGAAATAGAGAGCATTAGTAGCCTGTATCAATTAGTACAGACTAACAGTTCAGATGCAATATTATTGTAATGTACAGGCAGCAGCCGCCGTCACGCCGCGCTGTACTTTACTTACTATGGTGCAGTGTACTGTGAATGAATAATTGAAAGTTTTTATTGCTCCTGCATGAGCAGGTAGAGCGCGGCGGCGGCCTGGCGCCGCGCTCTACTGTGTGCGGTGCGGTACCTGCAGGTGCACCCTGGTGAGCGCCGCGTGCTGGTAGTTGGCGCGCATGAGCAGGTAGAGCGCGGCGGCGGCCTGGCGCCGCGCTCTACTGTGTGCGGTGCGGTACCTGCAGGTGCACCCTGGTGAGCGCCGCGTGCTGGTAGTTGGCGCGCATGAGCAGGTAGAGCGCGGCGGCGGCCTGGCGCCGCGCTCTACTGTGTGCGGTGCGGTACCTGCAGGTGCACCCTGGTGAGCGCCGCGTGCTGGTAGTTGGCGCGCATGAGCAGGTAGAGCGCGGCGGCGGCCTGGCGCCGCGCTCTACTGTGTGCGGTGCGGTAGGTGAGCGCCGCGTGCTGGTAGTTGGCGCGCATGAGCAGGTAGAGCGCGGCGGCGGCCTGGCGCCGCGCTCTACTGTGTGCGGTGCGGTACCTGCAGGTGCACCCTGGTGAGCGCCGCGTGCTGGTAGTTGGCGCGCATGAGCAGGTAGAGCGCGGCGGCGGCCTGGCGCCGCGCTCTACTGTGTGCGGTGCGGTACCTGCCGGTGCACCCTGGTGAGCGCCGCGTGCTGGTAGTTGGCGCGCAGGAGCAGGTAGAGCGCGGCGGCGGCCTGGCGCCGCGCTCTACTGTGTGCGGTGCGGTACCTGCAGGTGCACCCTGGTGAGCGCCGCGTGCTGGTAGTTGGCGCGCATGAGCAGGTAGAGCGCGGCGGCGGCCTGGCGCCGCGCTCTACTGTGTGCGGTGCGGTACCTGCAGGTGCACCCTGGTGAGCGCCGCGTGCTGGTAGTTGGCGCGCATGAGCAGGTAGAGCGCGGCGGCGGCCTGGCGCCGCGCTCTACTGTGTGCGGTGCGGTACCTGCAGGTGCACCCTGGTGAGCGCCGCGTGCTGGTAGTTGGCGCGCATGAGCAGGTAGAGCGCGGCGGCGGCCTGGCGCCGCGCTCTACTGTGTGCGGTGCGGTACCTGCAGGTGCACCCTGGTGAGCGCCGCGTGCTGGTAGTTGGCGCGCATGAGCAGGTAGAGCGCGGCGGCGGCCGACCGCCGCGCTCAACTCTGAGCGGTGCGGTACCTGCAGGTGCACCCTGGTGAGCGCCGCGTGCTGGTAGTTGGCGCGCATGAGCAGGTAGAGCGCGGCGGCGGCCTGGCGCCGCGCTCTACTGTGTGCGGTGCGGTACCTGCAGGTGCACCCTGGTGAGCGCCGCGTGCTGGTAGTTGGCGCGCATGAGCAGGTAGAGCGCGGCGGCGGCCTGGCGCCGCGCTCTACTGTGTGCGGTGCGGTACCTGCAGGTGCACCCTGGTGAGCGCCGCGTGCTGGTAGTTGGCGCGCATGAGCAGGTAGAGCGCGGCGGCGGCCTGGCGCCGCGCTCTACTGTGTGCGGTGCGGTACCTGCAGGTGCACCCTGGTGAGCGCCGCGTGCTGGTAGTTGGCGCGCATGAGCAGGTAGAGCGCGGCGGCGGCCTGGCGCCGCGCTCTACTGAGTGCGGTGCGGTACCTGCAGGTGCACCCTGGTGAGCGCCGCGTGCTGGTAGTTGGCGCGCATGAGCAGGTAGAGCGCGGCGGCGGCCTGGCGCCGCGCTCTACTGTGTGCGGTGCGGTACCTGCAGGTGCACCCTGGTGAGCGCCGCGTGCTGGTAGTTGGCGCGCATGAGCAGGTAGAGCGCGGCGGCGGCCTGGCGCCGCGCTCTACCCTGTGTGCGGTGCGGTACCTGCAGGTGCACCCTGGTGAGCGCCGCGTGCTGGTAGTTGGCGCGCATGAGCAGGTAGAGCGCGGCGGCGGCCTGGCGCCGCGCTCTACCGCGGTACCTGCAGGTGCACCCTGGTGAGCGCCGCGTGCTGGTAGTTGGCGCGCATGAGCAGGTAGAGCGCGGCGGCGGCCTGGCGCCGCGCTCTACTGTGTGCGGTTCGGTTCCTGCAGGTGCACCCTGGTGAGCGCCGCGTGCTGGTAGTTGGCGCGCATGAGCAGGTAGAGCGCGGCGGCGGCCTGGCGCCGCGCTCTACTGTGTGCGGTGCGGTACCTGCAGGTGCACCCTGGTGAGCGCCGCGTGCTGGTAGTTGGCGCGCATGAGCAGGTAGAGCGCGGCGGCGGCCTGGCGCCGCGCTCTACTGTGTGCGGTGCGGTACCTGCAGGTGCACCCTGGTGAGCGCCGCGTGCTGGTAGTTGGCGCGCATGAGCAGGTAGAGCGCGGCGGCGGCCTGGCGCCGCGCTCTACCGTGTGCGGTGCGGTACCTGCAGGTGCACCCTGGTGAGCGCCGCGTGCTGGTAGTTGGCGCGCATGAGCAGGTAGAGCGCGGCGGCGGCCTGGCGCCGCGCTCTACTGTGTGCGGTGCGGTACCTGCAGGTGCACCCTGGTGAGCGCCGCGTGCTGGTAGTTGGCGCGCATGAGCAGGTAGAGCGCGGCGGCGGCCTGGCGCCGCGCTCTACTGTGTGCGGTGCGGTACCTGCAGGTGCACCCTGGTGAGCGCCGCGTGCTGGTAGTTGGCGCGCATGAGCAGGTAGAGCGCGGCGGCGGCCTGGCGCCGCGCTCTACTGTGTGCGGTGCGGTACCTGCAGGTGCACCCTGGTGAGCGCCGCGTGCTGGTAGTTGGCGCGCATGAGCAGGTAGAGCGCGGCGGCGGCCTGGCGCCGCAGGCGGGCGTCCCGCGCCGCACACAGCCGCACCACCGCGCTCACCACGCCCGCACACACCGCGCCGCCGCCTGCGGGACCCGCCACGTGGCACATACATTACATGCCATCACAGGTACGTTCTTTCGCGCGCTGGTCTCTGGGGTCTGGGGAGACCAGCGCGCGCGATCGCCAGACCAAACCAGACCAGCGCGCAATCGTTAAAACGATTATCTCACAGTAGAATCGAAGTAAAGTAATAATTTGAAGATCTATAATACGTACCTTCGAAGAGCGTATTAGAAAACTGATTTATATATGCGCGAAGTGCAGCGAATAAATGTCTGTACAGTGTCTCGCTTTGAGGATACTGTAGTAGTTTGAGGTAAGGTTTAGCGGCTACACCCTCAGCGGCGCCCAGATTCTTCATGAAGAGACAAGCGCGGTCGATAATGATCAAACCGACTTCTGTGGCTAGACAAGCTGCAGACCGTATAGCGTGTTCCGTTATTTCTTCTAGTTCTAAAATGATATTATTTTCTATAAACGTATATGAGAGTAGTATAGTTGTAAGATTGAGGTTATGTTGTTAATTTTTTTCTCACTTATGTCAATTGTATTAGAGTATGCCTAATATAAAATGAGATTTACCTATATCATTCTACCTATTCATAACATTTATTTTATGTATCAACAAATTAAAAATATATTTTATTATTTAAGTTATTTCGATTAGTTTAACTAAAGTCATTTTAAAAGTTGAATACCCAAACAAACATTTTAAACATATCTGACGCCAATAGTAGACCTTCCAAAATATTTTTATCTTGTCCTAAAAACAGTTGTTTCAAGATTCAGGACAAAGCTTCAATACAATTTCCAGGGTTAAATGATTTATCGATAGATCGATTTAGTTTTACATGTAGAGTTAATTCTTAATAATGTGCATTAAATATCCTTATTTAAGCAAGCAAGCTTAAATACCTGTTGTAACAGTATGTGTCACCAAATTCTCTCTATTGACTGTGTTATTCTTTTCAACAATCATGGGAGGTTCCTTGGAGAAATCAGGTGGGCTCATCCTGGCTGGTAAAGTGCGAGCTTTGATGGGCTTCGGTTTATCGCTAGGTTCCGGAGTAATGGTCTTCAATTCTGACAATATTTTCTTTCTACCCACGTATTGAAATTGTTCTGCGCAAATCCTGCAGGAAAATGACAAGTATACAGTCTGTTAGAGTAATCGCGTACGCTTTTTGCAAATAAACCCACACACGAGTGACATAAGCGAAATTATATCCTCTTTGATCCGGGATTATTACCACGAGACTTATTACGTAACGTATTCTGTAAACTATACTCGGTGGGAAAATAGAAATATTTAGACGTCCATTCCCTCTCTCGAGTATTGCGATAACTAATAATTATAATTAAACTGTCAAATATCAGTCTTCACTCCAAATAAAATTAAGCTGACAAAAACAGCAGCTGGAGACCGATATAGTGATCACAAATACATATAAAATGATGGGGCAAAGTCATAAAAGTTAATTGATGGATAAAACTGCAAGTCTATTTTCGACTTAAATATGACAGCAATTTTATCCAGCTCCTATACAGTAATGCATCCAACGGACTTGTGTCGAGCTACGACAGCGTGCTTGTGCGGAAGTCAGTGCTAGTACATTTATAACAAAAAGAAACTACAGCTTTCTCTTTCGATTGCAAAGAATTTTCGGTTTAGGAAAGAAAATACACATTAAAAATATACCGTATATAGATACACCTATTTCGGCAGTCAGTTGAACAAAGAAATTTGCTTACACTTACTCTAACACGTTAAAGAAAGACTGTTGTTGCGCCGGAGAGTGTGTCTTCCACCATTCTACGAGTCTTTCATCGTCTAAGTACTTCAACACAAACAGGAAACACAAAAGCACATCTCGCACTTCCTCAGCGGACATTACACCGAATCTGGGACACACACAAATCAGATAATAATAAAACCTAATGTGATTGGAATTGGATATATTTCAGTTCGGATGGGGCGCGTATTACCTGTTGACTTGATCACCAATTTCGCTCAAGTTCAGCCGCCCTATATTTCTAGGTAGCGAGTCCCCACCGGACATTGTCGAGACTGACTCTAGTGAGCTTTGAGATACATTGTTTGTATGATCTATAAACATAAGTGCAGGTGTAACAGATGTATATTTAAATACGAAAAAGAGGAGTCATTGTGGAAATAAGTTTGAAGAATTAAATATTTAAATTGTGGAAGTGGAAGTGTGAAGAATATTATAGAATAATTAAAAACAATGTGTTCATATGAATTAAGGGTACACTAATAAAGGAAGTCAAGTCTGTTGACAACATATAATACAGAAAAAAATACACAATAGGATTAAATTTGACACAATCACAAGAGTCATACAAAATAATCCAAGAAACAGATTTACGAATATTAAACTTACCTTTACCATACATATGGTTTATATTCGGGGGCTCTTTGAAATGTGCAGAGTTCCGCGCGGGCGTGTGATCGAAGTGTAAAGTTAGCCGATTCCGTCGTGGCGTGCTGCTCGCTGACGTCACTTCCTTCGTATTAACGGCGAGATGTGTAGTCGCATCACCGTCCACTTTATCGTGGCCGTTTTCTACCACAGGACTCGCTAGATTTTTCGTTACCAGACGATGAGCATTGTCTGCAAAGACAAAACTAAATTTAAATAATCTGCAGTCTTTTCGTTTTTAATATAAATTTTAGTGTAATCGAAAATTTTCTTTTTGTTTATAAAAAGATGATGAATTTCAAGTACAATGCTTCTGTCCATTTTGTAACCTATATACGGTTATAAAATTAATAATTCCGTTTGCTTTGGTTTCTTTCAAGCGTGAATACTGTACTCGACTTATATTATTTGAGATCGAAATAATCCGGAATACATTTTTATTCACTAGCCGTTTGTAATTGTCGTCCGACTCCTAGGCCTCGAGTAGTATACACGTCTTAATGTATAGATAACGTATACAGTTTTCTAGAATGCGTTAGCGGTGTGAGGCGTGGACTGACCGAGCACGACAGTGAGCCAGGGCGCGTAGAGCTGCGCGAGACGGACGCGCGCGTGTCGCTCGCGGTAGCGGTCGTCGTGCTCGTGCTTGGTGAGCAGCGCGCGCAGCACGCCCAGCGCCACGCGACGCTTCTGTGGCGCCTCGCGCAACGACTGCTCCACCTACCGGACATCCGAACTATCAACGCCACCACCTCTATTATGCTTTATGGTCATGCATATATTGATACTTAATTATATTTGTTAAACTTGCTGAAATAATGTATGGTACTGTTGTGATAGTATATTTTTTTGTGCTAGTAAAATAAAATATGTTTTCTGTAATATTAATCATGTTGTAACACAAGGCCGACGTTTATATATTGAGGAAGAACGGCCTCATTTTAATACAAGTTTGTATGAACTTAAAAGGCTGTCTTTGTATATTGTATCTTGTGTTGTGAAATAAACTATTTGTATCCTAGTTAACCCGCATGACGTCGTCTGTACCCACTTACTTGATATTTATTATTACATAATATATTTTTAAATTATAGCTATGTATTATTCTGATCTAACAATAATTAGTAGGCACATATATCTTGACAGATATTACAAGTGTTTACTGTTTTCTTCGGGTACCAGTTAAAAACTATTATAATTTAAAATAAACGTAAATGTGGTAGTTGTAATGAGTCGAGAGAAAATACTGTTCGCCTATACTCAGTTCTTATCATTATTTAATATTGTTTCGTAAACAATTGGTATAGTGAATTTAAAAATTTGTAGAAAACTGGGGCGGAGATATTATATTGCCAACGAATGAATTGTGAAAGTATAGAACTTGATTCCCGTATGGAGAATACATGAAATGCGAAGAAGTTGTTTTCTATCGCACCCAACATTAAAATTACAATGCTGGAAAAGAATTATAATACAGAAATTGTACTCTCTATGTACTGTAGGGTCTTTAGACTGCAACAACACATTGTTACATATATTCAATTATAAATTATATGTATGTTAGTCTATAAGGTATTTTTAATAAGGGCCTAGTTGCCTGAAATAAAATATCTTTCTCTGGAGTGCTAAACCATCTGCTTTATTATAATTCATGTCATCAACTTCCTAAAAGAATATTCGGTGTCTCATAATAATGGACGCTTGTTATTTTTACCAAGTATTATTAGATGAACATAAAATCTTACATGTCTTAGCAGAACTCCAGCAAGAAAATGTCTCATAATGAAGTCTTCTGTCAACATCAATTTAGCTGGATCTAATAAAAAATAAATTAAAAGTTATTGGATACGCAAATCAATGAAAGAAAAGAAAGATCAGGATGCTTGGATATAAACAGATTACCATACAAATATAACCTTAGAGAAGTATGTGGTTATACACTATATTCTAAATGTTTTAAATAGAAAAGATTTGCACAGTATAAAACTTTTTTACAGAATGTAGAGTTCATATAAAGTTTTATACATGTTGTGAAACATATAAAATGTAAATGTATAAAAATGTCACAATAACTCTTTCCACTAAAATATATATGACAATCATTTGAGGAAATTTATTTATTTGAAATGTGGAGTTGTTGACTATACAAATATAATATAACAAGAGTAACTATACTAACCTTCATCACAGTCTTTGGACAATTTGTTAGCTTGTAAAGGCAAGTTGAACGGCACGAAATGTTCATGAGAACATATTGTTTGAAGAAATGTGAATTTAAAATCAAACAATGCTTTTGGATCACATGCATTGAATTTGTCCAGATATTTCTTTATTTGTCGGAATAAAAATCCTCTATCCATAAATGACAGACATGACTAAAACAAATAATTTGGGAATTAAAAAAAATACATCCAATATGAATATGTCTATAGTTTGAAGTATATTACGTACATTTTAATGTTTCATTACCTTAAGAAAAACGGCGAGATTCTTGTTGAATATATGCGTTTGCATTGGTTGTTGTAAAATGTATGATGGTTCCACCGTGGTGATCAACTTATCAATGTTATCCAAAAGGTCACTATGAAATCTCTCATGCCGTGACATCTAAAAGCATATATTTATTTTAAAAAATAGGTAAATTATATACAGGTAAAAAATATATAGTCAAGTTTCTAGAAATAAAATGTATCTTTCAACACTGTGGTCTAGTAGTAGTGACTATTATCTCGACTATAGATATCGAATCTGTAAGAAACAAACAATCTTGTTGTCAATTTAAATTTCTAACTATTTATCTAGTAACGTAAATAATCAGTATGACTTAAAACTCAATCGAAAAATTGTAATCTTGAATAAAAATTTATAAATATAAACAATTGAAACTTGAAGGAATATAATTATAAATCAATCAAAAGGTACGATACAAAACAATGGTCTTGTTCAAACCCTTACCTACCTTTATTCTTCCAGTATTGATCAGATACTGAGCCATGCTTTTTATAATGATATCAAAAAAGAATCCAGAATACTGCATAAATTTGTGTCCTAATAAGAAATCCTGTTGGTTGGAGTCAACAAACAAGTGAAGGGGCGCAGTCAATACTGTATGAAGTTTGAACTCTACGCAGTTAAAGACATACTATAACAAAAAAAAAATCTTTAGTATTTAAAAAGGTGTATTGCATTTATAATAGACAGCCATCATAGCTCCAGGTCTACATCATCTCTAAAATCCTTATTAATTACTAAAGTTTGTAATAATAGTTTATTTAATTTTTAGTACAAGGTAGTGAAGAAAATAAAAAATATTATTTTTTTATTTATGGTCTATAACATAAATTCAAAACTTTCTCGTACTATTTATAATGTAAAAACTAAAACATTTTCTCTTTAATGATGTATCCTATTGTAAATACATTCAGTAATCAAACGCAACAAAATGAAGGAGTGTAAATTTGTCGCTCACCTTTATATAGCTGTCTAGTAAATCCTTGCGACCATAGTCGTGTATCATGTGAACGAAATGCACTATTAACTTTACTATTTGGTACCCCATGTCTTGAGTGTAGTTTTTCTCAAACGTCTGAAAGAAAGTTTGCGATGATAAATAAAAAAAAAAATACTAAAAAATAAGAGAATTGCATAAATTAATAATTTATGCTACCGATAATTTCTTATACATAACAATTTACCGTTGCATGTGGCAAGTTTTATAGTTCTATCCTTTTTTTCTATTTATTACTTTAGCCAGTAGTTAGAAACTACTTTAGCCTTGAGTATGAAACATATCAAAACATTAATAAATATATATATATAAAGGTAAAAATGGGCGGTGACAAGTTACAATTGTAAACAAAAAAAAATTGTAAAAGTATATAAATTATAGATATTGACACATTTTGTAATAATTAATTATTATGCATATAAAATTCACAAAAAAAAATCATATATATTCTTTGTGAATATTTATTAATGTGCCTATAAAATTATAACAATAAAAAATCAGATATAAAAATGGAAACATACCATTAATTCAAACAGCTGGTTTAATATAGTAGGTAGGAACGCAATCAACGAACTCAGCCTTATTGCATGCGCAGCTTTTAAGGCGTTGCACACGTCATTCCACGGTGGGGGCGAGGGGGACGTTGGGGGTGAACTGCATCGGATTAGTCTCTCAATCTGAGCGAAGAGGTTATGCAGATGCATGTCTCGAGTTGCGACAGTGGAATCTAGGACCAACTGACAACGGAACAGTTGCTTTTCTCCTTCCACCCACACGACGTCTGGGCCTGTGTTCTATTCAAAGAATATACAAAAAATACACAATAAGTAAAAAAAATGTTTGTCTTTGATATTAATAAATTCATTATTATAATATTTTCTTAACGCATTCTTACGACATATAATACAGATTAGTAATACACAAGCGAATTAGAACAGTTTTGTATCAAAATAACTTTATATATGAAAACAATTATATTTTAAAATATCTTAACATACCCCTTTGCCAAGTCCGAGCGGTTGGATGGAAAGATATCCCGAAGGCAAATGCGTAGCGATTGGCAAATTCACTATCTCGTCGACAAACTTATCATTCTTCAGTAATGGAACCCACGCGTATCTGTTAAAAATAATATTATTAATTAAATCCACTTAATAGAACATCGAGGTATAGTAATTACATTCTATTTTAAATTGTTTAGAATAATATTGTATAACGTAAATAAGATATCTATTATTACTTAATATTGATATATGGTACATACACTACTATTAAATATTAATAAAGGTTTGGTAATAAATATATCATGACAACTGACAAGAGATTTAGTATTGATATATCGATTATTACAAATTACGCCACTATTACAGAAGTCTCATATTCAAGTACTGGAATATTATAATTTTCAGTAACATTTTGGCAGGTAAAGAGGGTATAGACTTGATTTTATAAGTCCAAAAACGTACTAATTTAAGTACTATATCACAGTTTTTTAACAAAGTTATAAATAAAAACAATAACTAGAGCTCACCCAATACAAGTTTCAACGTTAGTGTCATTTTTTTTCGCGAGATCACAGGAGATGTGGTAAAATGAGAACAGCAGGTGATGCTGCGCCGTTATCGTAGCCGGTAATCGGATTTTCGCTTCATCACTCCAAATCGGGTTCGCGTTATGATGGAGTACAGAACAACGGTACTGCGCCGTCATACCCGTACGACCATATACTACCTACAAACAAAGAATCAACTTGTAAATTCGTTTACCTTTTAATATAATGGAAGATGGCCTATACTTATATAAGACTAGCTGTGCCTGCGGTTTCGCCCGCATTAAATTTATAGCATATATGTTATTCTGATATATTGCTGTTAAATTTCATCAAAATTCGTAGTAGTTTTTGCGTGAAAGAGTAATAAACATCCATCCATATTCACAAACTTTCGCGTTTGTAATATTAAGAAAATTGAATGAATAATTTTATGAACTATGTGTGTTAGAGGCAGGCACTTTAAGGAACCTTTCGTAACGTAGAAGTTAGTGGTTTTGTTCACTACTTAATTTAGACGACTCTCAACTCTATTTATTATTTACGTCATTCTATACAATCTTACCTGTAAAGGTACATTATCCCCCGAGTCACTATCTCGCAGTTCAATAGAGCATGCTATGTTTCTTGCCCTCGCGAACATTTTCTGTGACTCGAAGTTGAGAGCCAATGGTCGCACATATAAATGATGTATGAAAGCTGCGTAAGGCTGCTCCGGCTCCACATTGAGCGTCGCTAGTTCTAATGTCAGCGGCGACGTGGGTGGAAGGGGGAAAGGTTTTAACGCGGCATAGGCAGTAGTCATGCAATCTGTAGGTAGACAAACAATGGTTACATTCCGGATTTATACACTGTGTCTCAGGGTTTGTAGTATTGGGGTCACTAACATCAAACAATCACTTGTTGTACCGCTTTTGATTATTTTTTTTGTATTCTAACAAATGACATGACTTTTCAAGATTTATATATTTGAAAATAACTCATTTTCTAGTTGACGATTCACTATTTCGATATTTCACAAAATTTCTTCAAATTATTTACTGAACTGCATATTATTTCATAGTATTTAAATTCTTTATTGAAATGTACTTTTTAATATGAGTGTGTGTATAATACTTGTGTATGTTGATACTTTGACTTCTAATGAATGAGTTTACTAGTATTGTATGCTTGTTAAAATACCTTAGATGACAAAATGAGTTGATTTTTACAGCCTTTAATTAAAAAATATGTAGCTATGGGTTATAGAACCCATATACTCACTTGGTACTTGTTCATTGCTCTGCTGTATATTAATACTGAGCCAGCCAGGTATTACTGTCAGTTTGGATAATTTCTCAGGTTTCCGGAAGTCTGATAAAATTTTCATGAGATCATCATCAGACATTTTATTTGGTTCTTGTCTGTAAATGGCGGGAAATTCAGGAGTTGTGTCCAAGTCGTTGCTGTATAATCTGTAAAGTAAAAAATAAACTATTACAGATATTTTTTACGCTAATATTATAAATGCGAAGGTATGTCTATCTTTTTGTTGCCTTTTGACGATAAACGGTTGATTAGATTTGAATAAAATTTGACTACAGAATAGATCGTGTCATGAGAGCGTTCTTAGGATAAATCATGAGACTTTCTTTCATCTAAAAAAACAACACATAGGAGATTTGCTCTTTATTATCTAAACAAACTTATAAAATAACCAGTAATATGTAGTTGTTTATAAAATATTATATATATTTAAGGTACATACCTAAATAAAGGTTTTGCTGCCCAAGCAAAAGGCATTCTGTAGCTTCCCACACGGTTGGCATAAGCTTGTACAGTTTTGTGAACTTTGAGACCGAGGCGAGGGTCTTTAGTAGCTTTGAGGTAGGGTTCCAAAACTTGATTCACATGGCCTTGAAGAATTTTGTCTATTTTCACCACTATGAATAAATCTGGATGGGGATTGTTGACTGACAAAATGACCTACGATACAAGAATAATTATTTAATACAATACTAAATTTAAGTGCATCCATATAAAACATACACACAGTAATTGAAACTGTCAAAATAAAAAAATACTGTTTCTATTCCATTTACAAAATATCTCTATCTAATATATATATAAACTAATAGCTGTGACAAAATTTGCATACCACATGATATAACAGTGATTAAAACAAGTAAAGTAAAAAATATAAAGATAATTGTTAGTGCAATAATTTGGATACTTCATATGAATATAGGTACTGACTATTCTGATATAATTTTCAATTATAAATATATCTTATTATTATATTTTCAATGTTAATTCATAAGCATATACATTTTTATGTTGTTTAATTTCGTACAAAACATTTTTATTTAATTGAATGTATATTCATGTACAATGCAAAAGCATTTTCCCAACAACATTTTTTACAATATTAGGTTCAAGGTTTTATAAGATGTTAACATCTATTGTACCTATATTTCTAATTTGGATTATAATTGTGTTTTAATTCAGATTAAACAATTTATATTTAGAGTATTACAAATACTAAATATCAATTGTATTTGTAAATAAACTATTTATTGTTACCTGTTTCTTCGACCTGTACCACTCCTCAGGAATCTGTTTAACGTCTAATTTAACATCGTAGCTAAAATTCTCCGTCAATGTATTTGTGCATTCATTCTCCATGACTAGATCTTTGACCGCGTTGTGGTTGAGGTCGAAGTGGAAGTTCTCCGTGAGTTTCTTCCCGCTTCTCGCATCGTACAGCGCCAGGTGCGTGTAGTAAGGCTCCACTTGGCATAATAGTTCTTTGTCTCCATCTATCGGTGCTTGTAACCTAAACTTTAAACTTTCGCATTTGAGCAATATTCTTTGGCCAAAGTGTTCTCTGAAATAAAAAATAGTAATTCTATATTTTTGAAGGGTAACAACCTCTTTACATACACCAAAAGCACATAAGATTGTTCTCCATCCTATCATTCTTCACCGGTATTCCGCCAGAGTAAACCGCACAGTTCAAGCGGGTGCGCCATTCCATTATCTGGATGATAATGGTATGGAAATTTAGAAAATATATAAAAATAATAAAGTTTGAAAAAAAAAAACCATTATTCATTTACTGAAAAATAAATTATTTCATTGTCATTTCCGACATGGCTAATTTAAGCATAGAATATTGTATCACATAATTTAGTTTTGTCCGTATTTTATTTATCATTATCGTCAATACATTTCTTTTTCATTAGTCATCATCACCCTAAACACTACATGTTAGTAGTTTTCATATCTTATTTTTAGAAACAACAGCTTCTTTCGATTAACATTGACAATATAAATAATAGCGCAGGATATTTATGATATAATAAAATATATGATTGTGGTGCTTTTCATGTCAATAGGCCATTGTTCCCATTTTCAAATCATAGAAAAAAATATTTGCAAAGGCGTCGCCTGTTACAGGTCAATGTGTTTTCAGCGTAGCGACCTTGATATATCCAGATTACTGACGATAGTAACTGCTTTTTGAAGTGTGAAATATTTGAATATTTACTTGGTTTATATTTAACAATAAGCAATACTGTGCGATTCTCGGTAATATACTTTTATTGGAAACATATTTGTTTAAGGTATTTTTAAAACGTTGACACTGTTTATGATTTGAACTAGCTGTTCCCGCGACTTCGTCCGCGTGGATTTTAACTTCATTTTTCTAAAATAAAAGTAGTCTCAGTTACTCCTTATTACAACAGCTACCTGCCAATAAAAGTGCCGTCAAAATCAGTCCAGCCATTTCTGATATTAACCGGAACAAAAAGAGAAAGACAGACAAAAATTGTAAAAAATGTTCCTTTGGTGTATGTACCGTATTTATATTCATATGCATGTATTAAAAAACGGTTATTTCAATATTACAAAAAGACACTCCAATTTTATTTGTATGTATAGATGTATAGATTACACTATGAAAGTACATATATTAGTATAAATCTGTGTTGAATAAATCACAGTATTGAGTATATCATGAAGCAGCGGGCCATTTCGTGTATTAGTTATATTTCATGTTTCACTGTTCGTGGAACATTAATATAAAAAAAAAATACATTTATTTCTTGTTTTCTTCATAACATGGTCAAACATTGTAAACTGTAGTAAATTAGTTTACGTTGTATTTACAATACAAAACAACGGTGTTAATATAATCAACGTTGAAAGGGCATACAACTTTAATGATATGTATAAATGTTGATAAAACTAATGAGCAAGTGTTGGCCATTAAATATAAATATCAGTAATATTTTAATCATAATTATTATGAATTGCAACCATTCGGTCAAATGCACGACAACTTCATAAAATGACCAATTCTACAAATTTCGCAGGATATATCTAATAAAATAGATAATTTACTTGAATGGTTCCAACTGAGGTTCGGGAGAAGGCGCCCGTTTGTACGGCATACTGAATATATTGACACGGCATTCGCTGCGAGCCGCTGATATTGACAAATCCGTTTCCCTTGAATACTGCATCAGGAGCGGATTCATGCTGTGTTCCAATCCTTTGAGTGTGCCGTAAGTTGGAGGCGGCGGTTCCGCTGTCAAGGATACATCTGCATCTGTATTTAAAATTTTGCATTATTAGATGTCGTACATATCTTACCATTAATTGATATTTGAGTATCAAATTAAGAACGTCTTCTACAAATAGCGAAGACGAGGCGGCGAAAGAACCATCCAGAAATTAATTGGACAGTTATATTAGAGCATGTAACCGAACTAATAATCTACATAGACTAGATAAATGTATAGATGTATAAAATTTGATTAAGAAAATATTTTAAGCTAATTTAATTACCTTTATCTATAATTTCATCATTTTGGTGACATTCCTGGCTATCCGGTTTCTTCTTTAAAGCTGCGTTAAAAGAATTGATCCAGTCGTTCATCTCGTCATCATTATCTGCAGAAAATGTGTATCCTTTGCCGCCGGCCATTCGCAATTCAAAACAAAAACGCCCACGTTTCGGATTCTAAAAACCGTAACGGTGAATATAAACAATTTGCAGACATAAATAAATTTACTTCATAGTATAAAAAATGTAACATACTTTAACAACGTCTGAACAATAGTCCATGACTATTGTGAGTTTGATATCGGTTTTCTTCTCGTCTTTATAGACTTCAAGAATATAAGTGCCATCAGCTTCCCTAACCATTGAGCAGTAACGTTTTTTAAACGATTTCGAGGCGAGATTACTGAATATTCTTTCTGAGCCAATTTCGGGTCCTTTAAGCAAGTACCCCTCTTTGGTACCGAGGTCCACTTTAGCAGTTTGAGCTTCATGGTCGCTTTCAATTTCGGCGTCTATGTCGTATACTTCTTCTGGTAATTTATTGTCTATGGGCCTTTGAAATTACAAAATAATTAGCGGAATTAGACTACTAAATTGCTAGATTCAGAGTGAAATTATAGTGGACAGTCATCATGGTAATTACTTCATATTCGTTAGTATTCACTTTAACTTAGAATGGAAAAGCATTATTGAATCAACACAATAATATTTTTTTATTTCTGTGCTAAATTTAGGAAAACAATTTTAAACTCAGTCTACCATGAACATATATTTGTTTTGTGAAAGTCTATTACAAAAAATAAGCGCTTCAAAGATACGAAACTGGGTAATATATATAGGCCAAGATAAGTACAATTTCTTTCACGAAAATATTGACGCAATGCGGAAATCGATATGGTAGTAACTTATTACGTGCCAAACGTCTGAAGTTTGAGTACGGTCTTATTTGATAAAAATGCATAGAATAATATGCTAGCAGTTAATGTTTGGGATTATGTTGAGATAGTTCAATCATTATATATACATATGTATAGAATATATATAATGATTAAACTATCTCAACATTATCACAAACATTATAAGTATAATATATGTCATTTATAGTATAGTATACTATAAATGACATATATTATACTTATACATCGTCCGGATTGTTATACCATATGGAATAGTCAGTGATAGCAACACTTGACAAGTCCACATTTCCCTTGGTATATTTGAATCCAATCTATCTCTCGAATTAATTTATTTGATATCGGTGATTACTTCGTCGTAGAGTGAGTCAGAAATATAAACTGACACAAGTCTTTGTAAGTCAGGGCAGTGAACCATTAGTCTACGACACTTTCAAGTCTCACTACACTACTATAATACTATACATGAAGGTACTAGATGTATAACTAGCTAGCGACTTCGTCCGCGTGGAATTTAACTTTATCTTTCTAAAATAAAAGTAGCCTAAATTACTCCTTATTACATCTGCTATCTGCAAAAAAAAGTCTCGTCAAAATCCGTACAGCCACATCAGAGATTAGCCGGAACAAACAGACAGACAAAAATAGTAAAAAATGAAAAATATTCATGTGCATGTAGTAAAAAACGGTTATTTCAGCATTATAAACAGACTCCAATTTTATTTATATGTATATAATTGTATACGTATAGTGTAAAAGAAAGTATCATAAAAAATATCTGTCTGCCATTTGTTTTAAATACCCAAAGCTTTTTATGTAATATATTTTTTAAATAGGTACGGTATGTTATCAACCGATGTAGAACATTATATATTCTGGGAAATACCCTCCTTGTCTTTTTAGCAATAAGTTTTACCTCAATAGATAGTAATCATAATTCTGAAAAGATTTGAAGGATGTCGTGTCTGGGTATGCTTACTATATTACAGTCTAATCTAGTTTTATTGAATCTACAAATACTGTCAGTGTTACATATCAAATTCCAGAATTATATGTAGAAACTCTCTGCTAAATTAACATTTACTGATTTGGAAACTTTGTGATTTTTTCATAAGAAGCTTGAGTCAATTATTATTAAATTCTATATGTATAACGAATATCGATAGTAACATTAATGCAAAATATGTTTGTCACTTTGTCACGACTAAACAGTTATATAATGAAATTTGACATGAGGCTAGATTATACACGAGGAGATATACATAGCAATACACATAAACCAGAATTTTATAAATTACAAATACGAACTAGAAGTCGCGACTCAATGTTTGGCAAATATTGAGCGGCTCTTGAAACCTAAGCATCACTAGTGCCCACCCCGACCACACTTTTACACACACACACACACGACACCGTCCTCGCCGGCGAAGACGACGACCTCAAACACATAATATCGCACATTCAACCGGGCACCTGAGCACGCCCGGGCGCTCCACACCGGCGCCCCTCCGAACGATCCCCCGTCCAATTCAAACGGGGATCGATATTACGACGGCCTGAACCGAGGTTCGAACCCCAAGTTGTGCCTGTTGTTGTGTTGTTTTTTATTTAAGTCCTTGAGTTTGGAATTTTTGTTCTGGGCCTTGTGTTAACTTAGTCAACTTTGGAATGAAATGCGTTACGGAATTATATATTGAAAATATAAGTAGGCGTTTTAAACGCATAGAAGGCTAAATATAACAAATTATGATGATTCATGTTGTACAATGCCCGATAAGACAGTATCTATTTATGAGTTTATTAACATAAGTTTTACAATCAAATATGAGCAACGAATGCAATTGCGCAGAGTCACTATGGAGTGCTTTTGAAAAGTGGGCGCAGCGCCTAGATACGGCCAACAAAAACAAATAAGTGTTCGCGGTATCGAGTGCTGATTGTAGGCATGTTTTATATTTTATTTTATATAAAACATTACTGGTTACACTTTTACGAGGTTAATATTATGCGAAATACCAATAAAATTAGACTGGGCAAAATAGGTCTCTGTATAAAACGAACTTAGGCTGATATTGTATGTTGTGTATTCACGATGATATTGTATAAATTTTTACAGTAAATTTCGATGTACATTTATTTAATGGATATAATGGAATGTGCACCGCCTTTGCTAACGGTATACGCCGGCGTGGCATCAGTGGAGTATGACTAGTAGTACAAGTAGTAGCGGGTTGGTTAGTTAGGTTGGTTGGCTCATCGTAGCGACTTCACCGGAATTAACAACAATGGTTCCTTGGTAGGGCGTTGTGGAAGACGACCTAACATGGTACTTACATTGCTAGCAATGGACACTATTTCCCATTGCCAACAATCCGCTCCCCCTTACCAATATGCAAAATTATTAGCTATGCAATGTAGTCTGACTAATGTTGACTTTTATTTAACTAGATAAAGTATAGTCAGATTTTATAAGTACGGTTAACATACGAGTGACTATTATAGTAACATAGTTACAGTACAATATGACAAGGAATTTTATTCCATACAGGATACCACACACCTACGCGAAATTCTGTGTCGAAATGCAAACAATTTTCTTATCTAATAAGTTGAATCAATAATGGAACTAATTAGAGAATTATCGCAAGCAAATAGCAATGATTAGTATTTCCCGGCTTTATTAGTGTAACTTAAGCAGATTGGTAAACAAGGCGGTCCTTGTACGAGGAAAGATAATAAATACCTACTACTGGCTGAATTCGGGGAATGTTTTACATTCATAACATTTGCGTCATACATTTCGACACTGCTGACATGGTATAAAATAAAACAAAATACATAAAACAAATGACATGGTACAAAAAAACTCTAAGTTTTTGTACCTAGTTCCTTTTACGCATCTAAAAGGGGAAAGATTTGATTGTATGTATAATGGATAAACAAAAAAAGTACTTATTTTAAAAACTTTTACACTGTTGAAATGTTATTGAAGAGTGATATACGTTATAATACTATATAGAAAATCCACATCTATGATCAAAACTGGAGCGGCCTCTAGTATAATAAAATTGAAAAATAATGAGACGGGTAAACAGTTGTCTGTTTTCGCGTCAATTTCCGTTTGGAACAAAATAAAATGTCAGTGGCTGATCTAGAAATCATCAATATGCTAATGTATTCTAATAAAATAAATCTGACTTCACGACTGCTATCCCAGATGGGGTAGTCAGAGCCATTCTTAACACTGCCCACGTCTTGGTGAACGGATATACTATTATGCCACATTACGCTTAATTTTAATTCAACACGCAGGAAAACTAGCCCACCGCTGTGCTGTCTCCCGGAATAGTTTGGTTTGTTATTTATTTAATGCACGCAAAACAAAAGGTTCATTATTCGGATTTAACACTCTGTGACAATATCTAGCAATCAACCATAGAGGTTTCAGGCGTCCACGGTTACGGTAACCGTTTACAAGATGGGCCGTATGCTTTATTGCCGTCATCGTAGTATAAAAATAAAAGATAGTGCAGATAGTAATTGTTGTCGGTGTTTCCATAACTTTATATGTCAAGAAAAATATAAATTCCTAATTTATACTTTCTTGACAAAAATAGGTAACTGCTAAAAGTATCTAGGTGGTTAGATGCAACATTCGTATGTCCATATCGTGATGTCATGGTCATCATTGCATATACGCAAGGATATGACTCATAAATCTGATATCTAGAACAAAACAGGGACGGCCTTGTGAAATTAGTATAAAAATTAAAAAAGTGTGTTTATGTACTCATGGCCATGTTAAGTATGATAATGACGTAAATGAGCATTTCGAATGTTTTATTATACATTTAGAGTACCATGCAACATTCTACTGGTTACTGGATTGTTTTAATTAGCATGTTGTTACATTTTTCTTCTTAAACTACTATCTACCTATATAGATAGGTATTAGATATATATATTAGGATACTTTAAATGTTGTTTTTAATTTTAATTTCTTTTTATATTTGGGTATTTATAAAAAAAATACGCAGTCAAACGTTCAGGATTAATTCAGAAAAAATATTACAATGTTAATTGCATACACTGATAAAAAGAACTAATGTGTTGTAAAAATGGAAATTATATTGGTTAAACTTCATCTAAGTTTATATATTGTAGATTTAGAGGAATGAAATCAGACTCCTTTTATCCACTACAGGTTAAGGTTTTGTTGTGTGGTGTTCTATACCACATTCCTGTGCTATATTATTCATTAAAGTAAAAAAAATCTTAACCAAGATATTTTTTGGATGTTTATATTATACACACATACAAATATTACATTATTATTTAAGACTTACCTTGGCAAGTTAAGATAGGAACTAGAGTAGCTTGTATATTTGTAATGTATAAGATTCCAACTGGAAGCATAGCTGAGCAGAGCTTGACGAGTGAGCAAAGGACAAGTAGATGCAGTTCGAACATCAGGGACTGCAGTAGTTACTGTTCTCCAGCGTCTTGGGAGAACGACACTCTATAAATAATTAGCTAACATTAATATTCTATTTTATTGAAAGGATAGAGAGCTGTGGCTCTATTCTCCATAGAGGAGACTTTTACCCGTGGGGGCCAAATAACAAGAAAAATAAATAAACCAAAATCATAATAAATATATCTTTATATGTGTTCTGTGGAAGAATAAACCTATTATAATAAAAATAATCATATTATTTTTAAGAACTATACAATATATAATCATATTCATTATTTAATTTAACTTGTCAAATGCATTCAAAAGTATTTATAAACTCTAGAGCTAATTATGGATATTCATGAAAAAATTACATAAGACAAGAAAGTGTAAGCAACAAAGACTGTAAACACATAGTAAGTTATAAGATAAAGTCAATTTATCTTATAACTTACAATGTGTATACCAAAATACATCTGATTATTAACTTCATACCTTATAATGCATAAAATAATAAAAGTACGGATGTTTTGACATTTCTAGTTAGACAGAAGCCTGGAATCTATTACTAAATATAATTATATTCTATTCATTCTAATATAAATATCAATTTCTAATATAAAATCCTCCTAAAAGTAATCAAAATTTGAATTAACAATACTACTCACAGACACATCATCTGTCGGGTACAGAAGAATATCTCGAAGTGGATCATTCAAGAGCAATGTCTTATTTTCTTGAATGTAATCTTCGAAATCCAATGCTGTACATTTCTTGGCAATGATGTTCTGAAAACAATCAATTTAACAAGGAAATGGAAAACTAAACCTATATTTATCATTTAGTCTTTATTTATAGTTCTTAATCAAGGAAACAAATACTTATATAGACATGTACTCCAATTTTCCTTTTGAGATTGTTTATATTTCAAAGTCTATATGGGAATCTCAGTAAGCATTGCATATTTCAGCTGCCAAGCAGTTTGCTGTATAAGCTGTGTTTTAGTTGTAAGGTGTGGTGAGCCAGTGAAATTAAGTGATAAGTGGTTTCCATGATAGATAAAATGATGAAGAAGTCAGGTTGCTTGCCATTGCTTTGTCAGAGTTTCTGTTACCACAGACATGAACACCATACCATTATCATTTAATAAAAAAAAATGGTCTACCAGTGAATAACAAGCAGATTCGTAACTCAATGCCATTTAAAACTTGTTTACATAATTCAATATTAACATTATGTAAATATGTTATGTTAAACAGTTCATAACAATTATAATGTTAATAAACATTAGCTATGGACAACTAATTATTTAATAACAAAATGTATATATAAGGAGGCAACTTATTTGATCCTAATAAAATAATATTAATGAATAATGCTTATATATGATTAGAAATAGGAATAGATTGATGAATGTAGAGGAAACAAATTAAGTGTTAATCTACCGAAATAGACAGACATGCTATTTATTTATAATAACATAGAATAGTTTTTACTTCATGACTGAGGTTTGACTGACAGTGCAGTTACATCTTTGTAACTGAAGCATTTAGATAAATAAAATAAATGAGAGTAAATAAATGATAAACATGCAGTGTTATTGATTATAATTTTTATATAGAAAAAATATAACATAAATATTTTGGTACAAGAATAAAAATCTTAGTTCTACATCGACATTAGAGAATTATAGAAAAGCTATATTTAATTATTTATTACTTATTAAAACTGCGTTTATAAGAGATAAATGAATATTTCTTTTACTTGATTTAAAATAAAAATATAATAAACATGCATTTACCTCGTATTCTGCGCCACTATTCTTTGATTTAGAATTGATTGGTGGCATATTGAATGGAATACTACAGGTCCATTAAAAACTATCACATATTCTTAGGAATAAAAATATGCATATTTAATTACATATTTCAATTTTTGAAATAGAGCGACTAAAAATGCCGAAAATCGAACTAAAAACGAAATACCGAAAAGCCAAGAAAACTAGATAGATAAAATGTCATGTTCTACTATTAGACATTGACAGTTATAATAACAATAATCTATGCTACGGTTTAACTTTTTTTGTCAAACCTTTTACTGAGACATGACTGACTGACTTCTGAAATTCGTTCCGTTATAATTTTTTTTTTTATTTAAAATGATTAGGGATGTTTTTTTTGACTTAGATTTTGACATTTAAGTTACCAAGAAGAACCCGGCCCAAGAGGCTGTCTATCCGAGTAACTACTCGGGGGATGTTGCCCTGGAGTTGATGCCGGTACGAGGAGGCCACCCCGGGGCTCCAATATGCATACCCCTAGGGGGCGTGAAGGATGGGGCCACAAATGTAATTCCACTTTTGACAGAAATACATTTGTAAATACCTGTAATAGTGATTAATAACTCAGTGTTTAAATTCAGACACCTACATCTACGGATGCATGCAGCTGAGACATTTATTTAAAGATGTATAATTTCATAATTTATAGTATATATTATATACTCTTTCTATTTTATTTTATTAGTATTTAAGACAAAATGTGACAAGTAGGTATATTGGATTTATTGTTCTTAAATTCCGATAGAGGACACCGTTGTATTAGAATGTAAGAAAGTCATTTTATAAGGTTTAGGTTCAGATTACTTTGTGCTATCGAATATAACGACCCAATAAAAATAAATCTGACAATTAATTATTAATAAAATTGTTTTATTGCTTTTATTTAAGAGCTCTAGATGCTAAGCTAATTGTAACGCTCTTAATTTCAGCTCTTAAATTGTACAAACATATTATTCTTATCATTACCTACCTTGCCTCTATTCCATTATTTGGCACATTAGTTTTCTTCCACCGGTCACTATCAGCCGTCATATGTGAGTAATTTATGAAAATTGAAGTTGTAGATTATGTGTGTAATCACAAAAATCAATTTCTGTCAGAATTAAGTTAAAATTTAATAATAAACTGTTATATATAAGTGTAATAAATGCGTAAACTAGTATTTTTTCTTATTAGATGTGTGATCTTAGTAGACCCATCACATGCACAGGACTTGGATTACATTTGTTACATATTTCTCCATATACCTACCGCATCCTAGACACAGTAGGTGTTTGGCAATGTGAGCAAAGCGGAAGGATACAGTTAGCGTTACATAAATAAAACAATTGAAAAATAATCTGGTAAGTAATTATGTATATTTGTATACATTTCCAAAACATCGTTCGCAATGTGCGAACGTTGGCACCATATAAGTAATTTTTAAACGTTACTTAAATTAAATTAGATACACAATATTTATAACTATAATTGTATTTTTAACTATAATTAAGTGTCAGTGGTGGGTTTTTAATTACAACAAAATCAATACGTATTTTTTTAATGGGTAGCTACTAAATAAAATCATCTCATGAATGCTCATGTATCGCAAGTAGCAAATTAACCAGTGTTTAATAACCCTATTAAACACTACATTAGGATCTCGTTCTATAATATATATGCAAAAATTTGCAATCGCGTTGTATAAACTCCACTTTTGGGAAATTATTCATGGTAATGAAAATTATTTAAATACACTGATATATTTAATTAATGTTTTCATATTGGTAGGACAAGCAAATATAGTGTATTATCTAGGGGACAAGCAATTAATGATAGCTACGTTAGCAATATTTGCTACTGTTTACGCCATCGGCAATTTGATTTTGACGAGCTCAAAAATCCCATAACATTGAGGCACAACCTAAAAACTCTGACTTACCCAGTCCCCTCTAATTCTCTGGGTCAAAAGCTTGATAAGCTCATGATTCTCCTTACACTCAAACTTACTTTTTTTACACTCAAAGCAAGAAATAGCAGTGAAAAACTATAACTTCTCTTCTCTTCTTCATATAGTTATAATTTAAAATGACTTACCTACACTACAGTTAACTGTAGTAGTTTCCTACCTATCTAATAAAAAAAAACATATATTTCACAAACATTAAAATTGACAATTATTATACTACTCATAAAATATTTTTTATTAAAACGATATGTACCTAGTCAAATTAAATAAGTATTGGATTTTTGATTATCTATTTAGAAACAGTTTTACAACATTCGTTTATTTATAAATTTTATTAAATTACTTAATTAATATTGACTCGAATTTAATAACAATTACAATATTGAGGTAGGTACCTAAATAGGTACTTACATAAAGGTAAGAACGTTGGTCTTACTTATTAATTTTCAATTCGTTTTTAATAGGTATATTCAACTTATGTACACATTTATAATTTGACACTATTACCTATTACATTTAATTATATACATATATAGATAATAAAACATTTGTCTTCTGTATCTACTATTATGCTTTTTCAGAGTATAAACGTGCAAGATTTCCAAAATTATTGAAATATTTCTGCAACATATTGATAAGATCTAGTTTTTTATTTCCTAGTTTTTAATTAACTATCTACATTAGGTACTTGGTTATTTTTGGTATATGGCACAATGATAGGTAATGTAAGTATGCAAGTATAATTTCATAATATAATTACTTACATCCTTTTTCACTTATGATTTAACATTTTATATTCATATTTAGTCACATAAATAGAATGACTGATATTTACCTAAATTATTCATAAAATATCACACTTAGGTAAAATGAGTATCACCTTCATATTACAAATGTTTTCCATTCATAGACAACGCACAAATTTTTGCAGTGAATTTTAACACTCGAAGGGATCGTCGAAAGTCTTTTGCAGGAATGTGAAGGCGACAGCGGCGGCGGCAGAGCCTAAAGGCGAGGATCGTGGCACATATTGCGACGCCGGCATCGGCGCTGGACGTCAGGTGAACTCTTCATCATCATCGTCCTCACTCAAATCGGACTCAGATTCTGGGTCTGGGTCCGGTAAAGGCGCTAAATAATCTACAGGCGGCAGTTGAATTGGCACTAGATATCCTTCTGTATCCTGGTCGGGTGGCGGCGGTCGTGGTAGTCGTGTCTGTACCGTCCCACCATTGGCAGCCGCTGCTACCTCTAATTTTCTACAAATTTCGTCGAACCCTATTCTATCACGGGGATCCGATTTCCAACAGGCGCGCATAAGCTCACCAGCGAATCTCGGACAGTCTTCGGGGGCTACCAGTACTATACCTTGTAATATCAACTTAGTAGCACCATCATTGTTGTGGCCGTAAAACGGTTGTTTGCCACGACTGTAAATTTCCCATAAAACTACGCCATATGACCAGACATCCGATTCATGAGTGAAACGCGCATATAATATGCTCTCAGGGGACATCCATCGTACAGGCATAGGTCTCTCACCACGCATTTTGTAGTAGTCACAGGTGTATACGTCTCGTGACATACCGAAGTCAGCAATTTTTACTGTAAGATTTGCTCCGACTAGACAGTTTCTCGCGGCAAGATCTCTGTGCACAAATCGCCGAGTAGCCAGATATTCCATACCATGAGCTACTTGTAACGCTACATGAAGTAATGCAGGTTCATCCAAGACAGGGCTTGGCCGACCACCTCCTCTCGAACCCCGAAGTACACCGGCTAAATCGCCCCACTCCATGTACTCAAACACCATCCAGGGACTTGCATTTATATTATCTGAAAATATTTGGCGAGAGTAGGTATTTTGTCGTAAATTTCAACTATCTATGTTATAAATACTTATAAAAGTGTCAATTATTATCTAATGAGGTGATAAACCGCGGAGCTATGTAATTTAATCAATTTTAGGTTTTCAAAAAAAGATATGGTTTGCTGAAACAGTAGTATTTGAGCAACGTCACTAAATATTATAAAATCAAATAAATTATGTATTTGTGAACAATATAATGCATCTTACCTCTATATACAACTCCGACCAATGCTAGAATATTGGGATGTCTGAAGGCTGACATTATAGAGACTTCTCTCACAAAATCTTCCTCGGCGCTACGATTTGCACTTTCTTTCAGTACTTTTATAGCTACTACTTGTTCACCAGTATTCGATCTCATTAAACCTGTAAAAAAAATTAAGGTAATGTAAGATTTTTATAAAGCCTGTTTCTTTACTAATATCGTGATTAAATTTTATTATTTCATATTATTCTTCAACTAATATTTAAATTAGGTAAAATTAAATTGGTATAAGTATTTTTTCGTTTAGATATCTATCAATTTATTGCATAAAGTATTTTTAAGTTTTTGAATTACATTAGTACTTGATTAGGTACTCACAAAATATTGGCTACTGACAGTAAACCCAAAAGGATTACAAAGTAACGTTATTTTTCAAATAAATAATGGTATATTTAAGTTGGCATAAAAAAGAACGCATTGTAGATATGTACATAATGAAAAGTTATGCTAACCTTTATGAACTCTGCCAAAGCAACCTTCGCCAACTTCTTCCAGGAAAGTTAACGCATTGCTATCTAACAGGGGTACTTGTGGATCGTTGGTGTCATCAGCGGTGACTGGACCAAGTGTTCCCGCAACCGACGCTGGTCCACCCGGTGCCGCTCCGTAGACTCCGTACTGGGGGTTCGTTATATACCGTTCAGCAAGCAGAGGTTCTCCTGATCGACGCTATAAAACAAGAGGTAGCGTCGCTCTATTACTGACCAAATTGTTTTTTTTAGTCAATAGCGATACAAAGGATATGGTGTTAGTACATGAGTATAAGTCTATCCTACGATCTATTAGTTTGTTTGCCACTACTAATATATGTACCTATTTGTAAGTTTTATTTTAGGGGTTTTCAAGTTTAAATTTATTATCACGACATCGATTAATTTGTCTGTCCGAAGTGTTGTCGACTGTTAGGCCTCTATTATCGTGGTGCATTCCATATTGTATCTATCTACTATCACTAAATTTATAGATATTGTACATAATATGCTTACCGGTGGTGCTTTTCCATCTACAAGTCGTATTCGTCTCCTGAGGTAGTATACTGTGATAGTAGCAAACACGATGAGGAGCAGAAGTCCTCCTAAAGACGTGGCAGCCCACAGTGCACCCGTGCCGCCTACGAACCCCACGCCCTGCATCGTGGGGTCGCCGGCTGCGTCAGTGTGTAGTTCGTTGCTTAATAATGGATTAGAAATCTGAAAATATAAAAATAATTTAAACTATATAACATTCTGTTTGTGTACACGTAACTAACAATCAAAGACTGTGTATAAATAAATTACGAAGGAAAAATAGATAGCCTCGTTTCCTATTAAAAGTTTTAGAATGCTATTGTAATAGGTGTAGATATAGCTACGCCAGTTAGGACATAGTGGCGAATTCATCAAAAGCGACCACAAATTAACTACGATATTTTATAGGAGGAATCGCGTGTAGGTATAATAGCCATCAATATTAATAATTCCTTACCCTATCCTTCATTACGCTGCGGTGCGGGTGACAGTTTCATTAATGTTTCGTTTCAGTCTTAAAAGTTGCCGCGATTTACAAATTATGACTTAGTATTTCAGCTGTACCACATTAGTGATATATGAAATCATTAATAACTGTATTAACTTAAATGTAGCAATCACCCTTACCACTTGTATTCAAATTTACCCAGCGAAATGTGGTCTCAGATAACAGCCATTACGGTATATTATTATTATATAAAAGCGAAGAGACCTAAAAATGCGAATAGTTTAAGAATACTTCTTGTGAAAATGTGTAGGTACATATAATTTGATAGACTAAAAACGTCTGTTACTGGCGCCTCACTCATTCTGATAAGAGTTTAAACTTTATTTTTAATTAATCAACTTATAGATAAGACTTTTTATTTCGAAAACATTATTTTATGGTTCTGTAGATATTAGTTCTATAGGTAATAAGAATCTTATTATTTATATTGTATAGCACATGAACATAAATATAATAATACGTATTGGAGCATAAAAGGGGGAATACAGAGACCACCAGCATATGCTATTACATTAATGCTACTAAACTAAACTTATGACAACCGTGTTTAACTATAAACATAGTTACAGTTAAACTGTAACTATAAAGACGACTAAGACGACTAAGGGACCGTTATTACATTGTTTTTCAGAAATGTCTAAAAATATTTTTTTAAATTTTGATTTAATATTATATAAAGAAAATCTAATAATATTATTTACTAATATGACAAAATGTCATCCAACAAAAGTCTATATCACGTAGCAGCCACAGATACATATTCTCTCTATACACAGATATCTATCTATAGATACATAAAGCAAATGCAATATTCAGGATTAAACACTAAAATACATTAGGTGGGTGCTCTTAATTTAGATGACAACGTTATCGGGACTGACCTATCATGAATATTTATCAGTTCACTATGGAAAAACACTGATTTCGTTTTCCATCCCGTCCATTTCATTGGACACGAATCGCAAAATCGATACTCTTCGATACAGATGCTCTACGTTTATTCATACTCCTCAATTTAACGCAATAAAATGATATAATGTATATACCTATACTGATAACACCATGACGTAGGTTATAACTGAATACACTTTTTATATTTATTTGGAATTGCACATGCATGTACAATAAATTTACAATGCAATAAATTCACAATACAATATACATATATGGACCCAGTTTAAAAAGTGTAGTAACTTTGTAGATGACCAATTCCATAAAATTTTTCAAACTATTATATATATTATTAATAAAAATAAAGAAAATCAAAACTACTAAAATTCCATGTACTATTATCTATTAAAAGAGAAAGAAATTGATATGCAACTTGTTTGCTAATCTTTTTTATAGAAAAAGAAAAAGCAAGCACTAGGCACAAAATAACATTTGTTTAAGGTTGTGTTACATTTTTTAGTCAGGAAGACATATTTGCAAGCAATTATTCATAATGATTCATTTTAGGTTGATATATGAATGTCTGTTTCACTTAAAACAAAACAATTTTTATGTGAAACTGAGCTAACTTTTGTTCTTTAGAAGCATTACAAGTTATTACCTATTCTATGTAATATTATTTTATTTTAAAATATACTAAATTTTTGTTCAGTTCTTGAAGGGTGGTGCTCACTCTTATATGTACGTAAATCTTATAAAATTAAATTTAATTAATCTTATAAATCGTATAAGTTTAATATTAAATTAGTTGCTCTATGATTGTCACGAAAATAAAATTGATTTACAGTAGAACAAAACAATAGTTTTATAATACTACCATCTGAAAAAAGGAAAGTAAACAAAAAAACAACTCTGTCATGAACAATGCAGCAAATTACGTTTTTAATTAAATCTCGGGGTGTTGCCCACGTGAATACTAGTAAAAGTAACCTACGTAATAATATCGAAAATGATATATTGTATTAAATTTTATTCGTTTAAGTTTACCACTTTTTAAAAAGCAGCAAATATTATATGTAAAATAATACAATAGAATTAAAAATACCATGAGTTAGATCTGATTTTATTTTTTTGGCTTAGGTATCTGTACTTATACTCACTAATATATCTATACTTTTTTTAACGTCAGAAATATTTCAGTATGTTGGAGGTTTGACTATAACTTCAGTTATAGGTACTTATATACTAGATAAAGTTTAGGTTTTACCTACACTTTGACCGCTTGTTTTAATTGAACAGTGGTTGGTATTTACATATATTAAAAAAACAATTTATAGTTTTTACAGCTCTAAGCATATCATCATTATAACTTTATTAATTATATTTTACTATACGAAAATTTACATTACTCTTTCCTAATATGTGCTCGATAAAATTTATGGCTTAATTAATATTACGCGATGCGACTGTCTACGGAGGCTGGTTTTATAGATAAGAAGATAAAGGAATTGGTTTAATGATGATGGATGTGCTTACCTGTGCGGTGGGTGGTGACGCAGAGTATCTGGTGTCCGAGGCGTTCGACGTGCGTGCTAGCGGTGGGATCACATTGTGAATTGGATTAGGGTTTACTGGCACTGCAAGAAAAAATAGTAAACTTGTAATTAAAATATTAGAGCTCTCAGCAGCGACTTTGCGATGCCAACTTTTGGGAAAAAATATTTTGGTGGTTACTATATAACCGCATTACTTTTTCTGTTTTTAGAATTAGCAGTTATGCCTTAAACTATAGGAGATTTCTGGCTATGTTACAGAGAAGAAGCGTCAACATGTTTCTCATTGCTTTGGCATTTGACCGATTTTATAAAAAAAATATTTCATTAATTTTTGTTATTGCACACCATCTTATTTCCGAAGGTCGCGGATTCGATTCCTTGCACAATGAATGTAATTTTAGACGTAAACAAGGCAAACATTTTTATCCACGATTGTTTGTATTGGCCTAGGAGTTTTCTATGCATATTACATATATATTTACAAAAAAAAATAGTATTTCTATAAGTTATCTAGTACCCGTAACACAAACTCTGCTTAGCTTCGCCCGGAATGGCGCTCCGTGAATTTTATAGGTTGTTGGTTTTTGTTATTATTATTCTTAAAAAAATCATTGAAATATATATAAGTAGTTATTGAAGCGTATATTGTAACCAATATAGAAACTCGTGACAAACTGACAGAAATATATATTTGAAATTTCCTAACAAAGCTTCACATTAATCAGGAGAATCGGTTTGCAAGTAGGTAGAAAAGTTATCTGTTCCTATTTTATTTAAACAAAGAGATAAATCATCAATCTACTTAGAACACAATCGAGTGGACCAAATTAATATAAGGTATTGCTGCTATAAATTACCTGTACTCCTTGGGCAATTATAATTGACGGTGGGCTTCCCATTAGAAGTGCACAGACAGAAATGTTGTGTGTTGTTGTTGTACGGCCTACACGCCACCTCTTCGATCCCACCACATGACTGGTCGTCGCATGCGCCATTGAAATATGTTACTGCAACAATACGTACCAAATTATAGGAATGACACTATGTTCAGTAACATAGGTACATATTATATAAGACTAGCTATGCCTATATGTATTTATTATAAAGAACTGACATCAATAAACACAACATCTATGCAACTCCATCTTTTTTTTTAAAAGAATATTTTATTATTAAAAGAATAGTAGGTGATATTTTGAAAATATTCACTCAATGAAATAATATTTTTACGCCTTTGTAGTGTATTGTTTACCCAGTTTTTTAGTTTATATGTTGATCCACATTTACCAACATATTTTTCTAAAAATATAATACTATTTTGCCCAGTCGTTCTTACGAATATAAACGAATAGCCTCATAATGATTTTATTAGAGGTATGTATTGTAATAATAATAATAATAAAGATGATAAATAGTTATATGACGGTTATCCCCACTGATGTTTATATTTGAAACCACGATTTCATAGCTAGAAATATAAAAATTGCAATAATTATAGTACTTGATGTTTCCTTGTCCTCTGATTTTTTGTCATCCCTCACTTTTGCCATTTTGCCTGCATTATCGCGTAGTCTCTGTAACAAAAAAAAACTGTTGAATGTTGAGATAAAATTCATGATTTTTATTTTATATTATGATGATCTGTACCCCGTGAATTAGCTTGTGTCAATGTTGATTGAAAGAGGTATTCTTTAGGTAATAAACGAGGTCTCGCGCTTGCCTTGTTGTTTAGTCTATAGTTGTAATTATATATTATACACAATAAATATATTAAACAAATGAAAAATATTCTGACCCGCAACCACAGAAAATTCAATTAATGACAAATATCTTTAAGAAGAATCAGTCATGAAATAACAGGCAAGTCTATCCACACAAAACCAAGATACTACATGCTATATGTCGCCCATAATAAATAGCTTCAGCAAGTCATTAGCGGTAATTACAATAAGTACATTCTTTTCTCATGCATATTGCTATTAAGAGAATTCGATGTAGGTACCTTAGAGTACATTGATTGTCGTGTAATAGATCAAACAGTTTATCATAAAACTGGATTACATATTCCGATAATCAAATGATCAATTTAAATGTATCTCTTACACTCATAGTGTTATGTAAGTGGTTAATAATAAAATAAAAATAAGACGATTGAGCGTACTTTATCTGGTTGGAACGTTTGAGATGCTTGCCGTGGAGCTATTTTGGCCACCTTATCGTGAAGAGTGGCCGCGCTCCGCCGTGGCCTGGGGTTACGTTACGATAAATCAATAATATCATTATACCTAAGTGAATTATTGATATAAATTTAACGTTTATATCTTTAACGTCAATAATAACAAACATCGCATCCTATGCGCAACGATGCCACTACGCAATGATCGAGACATATTGGTTATGAGGGAGTGTTTTCTAGGTTAACTACAGTGGTTGTAATTTCATAAAAAAACCTATTAAAAGTAAAATATGAAAAGTATAGATATTTTACGTTTACAATATAAATTTATCTATCAAATTATGAATATTCTATATTTAGGTACATACAAAATTAGTGCTAATAAATGTAAGTAATTAAGCTTGAAAGAACTACAGCACTCTCTAAATATTGAATGAACAACAGTTTCAGCAATTAACCTATTATTTATGGAACTACTAATTCGTTGTGGACCACAACGTAGGTACCTAACAATACTTATTTTACTCCTCAGCTGTATTCCAAAAGATAGGTACATATACCTGTCTATGCAAACTGAATAGATCAACATTAATTTATTTTATAGATATGTACCTAACAAAGGTAGTTAACAATATATTTATTAAAATTTAGTCCTGGCGGTAACAATCCCTAGAATAATTTTAAATTAAAAACAATGCCAGGGAATGTGAGTATGGCTTCATTAAACTTGGATCTCATGTGTAGAAATGTAAAAAGTTGTTTCGTGTTTGCATTGCCAATTTCTACGTATAACGAATATGATTGAGTGCAACATATGAGAATAAACTGTTGTTTGCTCTCCTGCAATCTAATTGAACTTTGTCATTCTCATTAAACTTGTATTACATTGCAAGCAAACCGTTACACGTGCTCGAGTTCTACAAACTAAAATAGAGAAAAGTATACTAGGTTATTCTACGTACCTACTAGTTGTACCTACATATAATGTAAACATCGAATTTAGTTTGACTCCAAATGTCTGTTTTAGAAAGGTAATATATGTAACATAAAACAGTTACAAATGATGTTAAATAACAATTGTATAAAGTTGGTTTCGATTGATATTCGGAAATTAAATAAACTAAGAGTTAGTAACCATCGCATATTATTCACAGGAAAATCGTGGTAATATTGCTACTTAATATGTATTTACTTTTAGATATATTCCATAGTGAGTTATTTTTTACTGACTCAAAATTTTATGTTTCCAGGTCAAGATTAATGTTTCTATCGACTCAAATTAGCACGTCACTAAATTTTGTCGCTAGTCACAGCACTAGTGGTCGTGGCTGGCTGTCACGGCAGGAGAATAAACAGCAGCAAGAATTCTATTGTTTATAGGGATCACACAGATTGGTATTGTGTTTCTGATAAAAATACATGGTATTCGTATTCGAGTGATTTAACTATTAACTGCAATGTTATAATAATAATATTTATTTTCTCTTCAAAACATTAGCATAATTTACAGTGAACTAGAAGGGTTGGGCATATAAGTTTAATGTTAAAGTACAAAAGTTGGTACTTGTAATCTGTAAAAGTGTTTAGATAAAGATTACGAAAAATTTCGATAATTTGTAGGAGATTGCCCAAATACCGAAACATACACTAATTATGTATCCATTAAATATGGATGGTAAAATGTAATGAAATTTCTAATCCATTCTTTTAGAATTAAACAATCAGAACACCCATTTCCATAACTTTATCGCGTAGATGCCTAACATTTTACGGACAATTCAATTTGTAAATGAACTTAAAGCGCTCGTGAACACCAATCAAGTGGCGCTGTTACTCAAATATAAACCGTAAATATTTATAGTTCCATTATGAACACGATAATATGGATTTACGATCGGATATTGTGTGGGGCGTGTAACAATATCCATATTCTTGGATTGCAGAGTATTGCATAATCAGTGGGCATTCGTGTAACGGGAACCGTTGTTAACGATCTTTTCATTACGGTTGTGACTGTATTGAAATGTGATGGTTACGAAGCCTCCCGATTGCGATCTGGCAGTCTATCTACTCTGGAAAATACTTCCGAAACAAATACCACTGGTGTTGGAAACCATTTATCTTATATATTATATGACTTTAGTATAGTAATTGTTTTGTTTTATATTATTCAGTAAAATATTTGCGATCATATAGTGTTCTTAGTGCTCTCGTCTCGTTACATTCGTTACACTCTTGAATGAACTAGCAATGCACTAATTGTGGAGGGAAGGGATTTACTAGTAATTTGGACTAATGACCCATATAGCCCATCAATGTACCAATTTGTCACGATGGGCTAACTGACCTGACTTCATCATGCTGATCTTATCAGCCAGCGTAAACTGCTGCAAACAACAAAACAGCTGCAAAACAACATTTCAAATGAACAGTACAATTTTTGTACTGATATTTTGAAAGTCAAACGTTGAAAATTAAAATCTATATAGACATTTGACTCCAGAGTAGAACTGCTGGAGTGGTTAGTGCTACAGCGGCACTACTCAACAATAGTTCATGTCTCGCGACTTATAGGGAATCGAGATCTCTCTATGGTTATCTCTCTGACCGATGATTAAGGAATGGAATGTTTACAAATATGCATTCGAGGTTGCATACTGAGATAAGTCTCGATGTGCTTTAATGACAAGAATTATGTTGTGAAAAATTGTCGAGGTTAAGAAATAAGAGGTAATATTAAAATACCGTATCTAGTATGTAGGTAAGGTTAATTATTACTATTAAATGGGATAAGCAATTTTAACGAAAATTATAATTCTAAATGCTATTTTTTAGCAGTAGGTATGTTACACTTCCTGTGCGGTAGAGCTAAAAATATTATTTCAGGTAGCTAGAGAGTACCTGAGGCAAATCCTTATTGAAATATAAACATAATCATTTGTTTGTTAGATATTAATTAAGTCAACTACTACTTTGTTGTATACAATACTTTGTTACTCATATAACTATTTATTTACTAACTGTTTTTATTATTGATTTAATAATTTATTTACAAGAGCTATATACCTAAAAGTTTCTACCTATTCATATGAAATCTTTAAAATGTAAAGTTTAAAAGAGAAACAAGCAAGTTACTTGCTTATTCTTCTTGTCTGTATTTCATTCCGAATATAAATCTATTTATACATAAGCATTTTTGAATAGTTACTTTCCTATTCTACCGTTATATAGATATATATATGTAATATTTACTTAGATAAATATCTTTTTTTCTACTACATTATTTTTATAAAGTAAATATTATACGTATTGTCTTAATTCCTTATTTTACAGCTTCAGTAAAACAAAATGCATCTACTTAAATGCTGTAATGTAGATTTCTTTTAAGGTTATCTTCCATCTCAATCATAAGACCATTGTCCTTACTATGAGTTTAATGAAGCTTAACAATAATGTAGCTTATACATTAAAATAACAAATAGGATATAAATTTCATGTGGGTGAAACCACAGGTACAGCTAGTATATAATGTTAATTACTGCTTGTCTCCAATTATGCGAATCGGAAAGTTCAAGTAAATTTGTGATCACCAATTGGCCTACAAATATGACAATGTAATTATTCTACTTTATTGAAATTGATAACATACTGGGGTAACATAATATTTCAAAACTAATTGCACCCCGAATAACAAATATCTACCCACTACTGTTTCCAGTATCGTATTAGGTACCTATAATATCTATTTTAAATATATTATATCACGCAGACACCTATTACAGGCCATAAATAAGTAAATGTTTTGAATTTGGTTTAGTTCCAGTTCAGATTAGTTAGAAATAGGATTGTATTTAATTTACAAAAAAAAAATTGAATTCGTGAGAAAATTTCAGTAGGCCTATTGTTGCCGATCGCGTCTCTAAATCCGTTTTTGTTTATAAATGCAGATAGACGATAAAATTAAATCCCGAGTCGAGAGTTCGTATTTGTAATAAAATACAAATATTTTCATGTGCTATTTAAGACATAATTTAAGCCACACGTTCCTTTTTCTAAAGAAATAAAATTGGTTATTTGTCATTTTATTTGTTATTGTATTATTTCTTCATTGTTTTTATTCGTAAAGTTATCTTAAAATTTTTCTTTGATAATTGAGGAGTACGCTGGATGGCATTGGATGCGAGCAGCGCAGGACCGATCGTCGTGGAGATCTTTGGGGGAGGCCTTTGTCCAGCAGTGGGCGTCTTCCGGGCTGAGATGATGATGAACTGTTGGAGTCGGAGGTACAAGAAATTAAGAAACCATGAAAATTGAACGATACTTTTCATACAATTCTCATGATCCATAAATAGTACAAAGCAAAGTTTATTTTCGTCTATTTCTCCGAATACTTACTTT